TGTTCCGTATTTGACGAGACATAATGCTTTTCCAAGCAACGACCAAGCATGGCTACCTTCTCTTCAAAGACGACACTCGATTTTACTAATTTTAGATCATAACTAGGTAAGTAACATCTTTTTCATTTGAATAAATAGTGCGATTTAGGTTCAAAGAACACGTAGGAAGAGTGTTGGTTAAGTATAATGTATTCTAGGGAATAAAATAAATTGTTGAACATGGGTGGGTTACAAGTGACCCATTGGGTGTTTTTGGACGGTCATATGTGACCCGTTGGATTTTTATGTGTGTTAAACTTTATATACAGCATATGAATCAATTACAATTATACTAATAAAACAATATTATTAGGTAGTTATAAGTTTATCATACATTATTATTTTGTTTTAGGAGTATATAATGGCAACCGGAAGACAACAAAAAAACATGAAACGCCAACAAGTTTTGGACCAAGTGACAGCAGACCAATCTGATTAAAACAGATCCTATTTCGTTTCGTTTTTTATAGTTAAAAATTTCGTTTTACTTGTCTTTACTAGAGTAGCATCTGGAAGAATTGTTATATAACCCGCTTTCTGATTGATGTGAGGAATTAGCCAATGAAACGGTCTGTTGCAGCGGGTTCTTGGTGTGCGATGCACGGAACTGCGGGTATCCTACTAGAAACATCAACGCTGATTGTTTAATCAAATGTCTGACGTCATAGAATCAAAAGCCGCTTGTATGACTCTGACGCGACCTCCCACTACATCTGGTCAGATCTTCATGTAGTAGAGGCCACTGAAAGTATTAAAAACAACAAACGAGAGAGATATGGATCTGTATTTTAATCAGATTGACAGCAGACAAAAGTGGTGCCATTGACACACCTTTGATTGATATGTCCGCCAACCAATTTCCAATAAATCCCATATATATGGCGCAAGACAATCTTTGGCAATCCCAACATTATTTTTCAATGTGCCGCAATTACACCATACAAATGAACAAGGAATAACCGAAACACCTCTGGAATATGTTCAACGATAACACAGATTTGCACAGTTCTAAAAAGCTTGGACCTGATAAATGTGTAAATGCATATGTCAAGGCATCTTCAATAGAAAGCTTGATCTCGCTTTAACTACGTACATCTTATCAAGGCCTTCACGTAATACCCTGCATATTGCGGCACTAATTTCGATTGGGTACAAGCCCAACTTGCGAGCCTACCAGATTCCTCGATCGTCGCGAATACCAAGTTTCGCGCTTTCAAGCTAAAATGTCTACCTGTGATAATCGAGTTGTGGAGGTCACGATAACACAACCTCTGATTGGACGCTACTGCTCAATTGTCTGTAGATAACATAGCTATAAGTTCGGGAATTGTGAAGTAAACAAGCAACGTCCAGATGTTGTGAAACTCGCAGTCGTTGCTTTAGGAACATGTTGTGAAACTCGCAGTCGTTGCTTTAGGAACATGATGTCAAGGAGATTGAATTTATAGGGGTGTATTTTAGAATGGGTCTTGTCAGGCACTAGAATGTATTGGGAGAATGAATGCCGCTTTGGGCCAGTTGAGTCCTAATAGATTTCAGTTATTGTTGTCTACCATTCACTTCGTCAGTAGTGTCTGGAAATTATGGTTCGGCATAAAGAGAAATTTAGCAACATGAGTTTAAGTTCTGTTACGTGCAATCATGTTCATTCTGATAGGCATATATTAGTTTCAATGTTTTCGACTCAAAAACATCAAAATATATAAGTTTTATCTTTCAACATCATTCCAACAATATAACATCTTTCAACATGTGAGTGAGAGTGGGTGAGGGAATGAGATTGGCTGCAAAATATATAACAATATAAAACAATTAAGTATTACATATTCTAAAACTTTTCTTGTATTATGGATTAAGACTAGTAATTATTTCCCTGAGATATAAATATAAAATTTTCTTTTCCCCTCTTCCTGCATTTTTTGGTTGACTGTTTGATCTAGAATTGGAGAAAAGGCATCAAATTTGCAATTTCATAGCAGTTTTGGGTAATACTGATGAAATTACAGCGGATGTATAGCAGGTGTAAAGTATCTTTCCGCAGAGCAATCATTGTATCGGAAGTCAGATTTTGCCCCAGTCAACACCAAATCCCCGTAGCAAAAAATCTAGACGGTCAACCCGCTACAAAATTATGATGAGAAGATTGCCAAATCTTTAGCAAAAAGCTACAGTCTGTGATGTTACAGCCATTTAATGGGTAAATAATTGCTAGTCTGAGACCTTATTAATTGTAGTTATCCCCCTTGATATACCGGTTCTGTCTAACATTCCACGGCAAGACGGAACTGCAGGGGTCAGAGGTTAAAGAACTGAAATTTCCAACAACTTGATAATTTAGCTAGTCAGCGAAACTTGGCGATCATGTCCGAAACTTTACCTTAATTCTGAAAAAAGACTGATCTACTTAAAAGACATCCAAACCTCACATTTAATTGGTGACTTTTCCGGAACTTAAAACATAATTACATTTATCTATTTCTACAAATTTCAACAAATTCTTGCAACAGCATCCTTGCCTCGATTTCCTAAATTTCAATATGGCTGTGTTGCTAAGCAACATCGCAGAGCTTTGGTTCTAGCCCACCAATGTACACCCTTGTTACATTGCTAAAATAATAGTCATTATGCATGACTGTGACAACATTGCCCCCCCCTCCCCCCACACACACACACACACACACCCAAACCCCCCATGGGCAACTTCAGAACCTACTATAATAATATAAAAGTATTTCAAATAATATTTCAAAATAATTCTTTCTGACACATCTTTCTAACCAAATATTTCAAAAACATATAGAGTAGTCTTTCGAAAAAATATTTCTAACTAAATATTTTAAACATATCTTATAAAGTAACCTTTCGAACAAATCTTTCAAACACATCTTATAAAATAATTTTTCAACAAATCTTTCAAAGTTTCAATATTCTAATTCAACAATTTCTCTTTCTAGGAATCAAAATTATGAGCTTCTAAAAAACACAATCTTGTTTTGCTGAACTGACAATTATGTTCCTCGGGCCATTTAAAAACATTTTCAATAGGTTCTAGGAGCCACTACCTCTGTGGCAAATTGTCACTGACTTAAAGTACGACGTCTCCTTGGCACAAATTCTCTTTGCCTTGATGCCATTTTTTTCTTTTGAAGCAACGCTATGTACTCCCTTGGCCATCGCTTCCAATAATGTTTCGAAAGTAGTCTCCATCGCTAGTTATGAAATCGGTCTGTCTGACATACTATTCCTGGGGGAATATTTAAAGAGGGTCTTATGCTTTGGAAAATGATTTGGGTTAGGGGTTCCCAGTCATTCCGCTTCAGTAAATAGTCTGTAAAATTTCGTCGGTTACTAATTCCTTTAAGATTGATTGTTTCTAATTAAAGTCATAGACCTCCCAGGAGTTGGGGTTAAGGTTGCTGGTGTTAAGGGACAAAACTCGAATTTTGAGGAGATAGGGGCTAGACTTTGCTAATACAACCATCTGAAAAAATATTTTTGAGATGATCTTGATCACCGGATCACGGTGACATGGAGACGAATACATTATGGTTGCTAACAATCCCTGTCTTAGCTCACCAAACGTGATCTGGAGACACAGAAACCTACCCGTAGACCTATCACTACCCCAGCTCTACCCCATAATCCTGGGCAACAATCACTTGCCCTTGCCCTGTTTACGAAATCTGGAAGTGGCCTTAATATTTAGATCCGAACCAGGCGTCACACCAGGGTGGGATTATGATACCGTCATCTGGCGTCATCGTGGCGTCACCAGAGTGTTACATAATCACAGATTATCTGATGTTATAGACGCTTCCTGCCAACTTGACACCTGTTCGCTATCGACATCCCTGGAGTTCTGGTCTATGTGATTATGTAACGATTAGTTAAGCTTACCTTGGTGGCATGTCTTATTTAAATTTAAACTTTCTTTGATGATAAGCAAATGTTAAACCTGATATGATACATGATACATTAGCCAGATGTCTAATAAGATTCCTTTGTCTGGAATGGTATATAATCCCAGATAGCAAACGAATCGATACAGAGGTCCGGACAGGACACGAGAGCGCAGGCCATGTGCGCCTAGGCACGGGACGAGACGGAATGCGGGAGAGCGTATTGGAGTTGGCACATTTGTGCCAAGCTAGGACATGGCTCCCTCAATACAAGTTAGTTATGGAGTCTTTAAGTTTTTTACATAATATGTTAAAAGAAGTATAAAAGTATTATAAGATGTTAAACTAGTCTTGTCATCTGAAGTTGATTAAAGAACCAATACTGTCACAAGGGAGTCACCTTGTGCACTACCTATTCGAGAGTAAGACAGGCTTTAGATGCAAGCTAAAACAACCAGAACAACACAAGTATTTATTAATGGGACATAACTCTTAGGGTCGCCTGTCCAAACTCGTGGGCTTTCTCCGGGTCCTCCGGTTTCCATCCCACTGCTAAAGACCCCTACGCACAAGCGAATTATTGAAAAAAATTGAACAATGTGTTAGTCCTGAAATGACCTAGTTTGTGTCGAGTGGACATTAAACCCCATTTCTCTCTCTCCACAATTTAGCTAGTATGAAGAGTTATTAGAATTGTATTCTCTTACTGCCACCTCGGGGGTCTAGACTGGGATTAGTCAACACAGATCTCTGAATGAAAATACCCTAATACACCACTAGCGTGACATCAAAAGGGGGAATTACTATCTACGCCATCACGTTTATCAATTAAAATACGTTTCAATACATGTTTAGATTGTATTTCAAATCATTCGATTTTTACATTCTGTGGTTTAAAAACCTTTAGAATGATAGAACAGGTTAAATCCCTGATATAACGCCTGGGGATTTTGTTTTTATTTATTTTTTCTTTGTTTTGGTTTCTTACAATGTTTTTGTCTTATTTTGTTTCGTGTGTGGCGGAGGTCTGGGTGTTGGGAGTCTATCGTAACAAAGTCAATGTAGAAATAACAGCCATTTATTTCATTATACACATGTATATTTTCTGGTAATGTTTGCAACATTTGCTGTACAAGAGCAGTTGTCACTAACTGTTCCATCATCAAACGCATACGAGAACGTAGCTCCACCTGGTGTATGGCAATTTCCACCATTATCCGTACACTCTGTAATTAAAATTCGTTTATAGGTAATTTATAAATCATGCAACACCCCACTCCGTGCAGTTACAAGATCATGTCAGCATTCGGCAATAGTTTTGCCAATCGGAATCATAAGGAGAGGAACACGTGAAAGGAGGTACATCTATTAAGCATGTCTGCCACTTCGCACCCTTTTTCAATGGAACTGATGTTCATTCTATTTAATCGTTTTTTTTCCAAATTGCCAGTGAAACAAGGGCGCGAGAGAAGAGGGGTGGGGGTGATGTTATATTGGGCATTAGTATTTTGGTGTAAGATATCCTCGACCTCCTGAAAAACAACTTTGGAACAATTTAAGTATGTATCCACCATTTTTTTTCTCTGTCTAATACTAGTTTTGAAGAAGAACTTCGGTCGTTACACTTATATTATATTTCATTTATTTAGTCATGGAAACAATTTAGCTGTGCACAATCTGAAGTTTCGCTTTTAATTAGCATACTGTATGTGACGTGAGGGGGTGACAGTCGCTGTAATTAAACAAAGCAGCAGAACGTGTCATTAGTGTTATATCCAGTGACGTTATTTAGGTCAGGTTATAAAGAGTAGCTATATAAATGTTATTTTACTTATTTAAAGTGTTATCGATGTATATAATTCAAACTGTTGATAATAGATCATTAAGAAAATTTCCCTCATGCCCGTTTTAATTAGCCCAGTCGGGACAGAACAGTAGGACGTTAAACCCCACTTCATTTCATATCTACAAATGTAATTTTGAACTGATAAATAATTACTTACTCAACTCTGTTACGACAAGACCAATGGCACCATTTGATTGTTTCTGGCATTGTTTTGTTGTGCAGTCAGACACAGGCGCATATTCATTGAGACTAACACAGACTCCACCGTTGTCACAACCTAAATTAAATTACAGAAACCACTTAATGGAGTGTATTTATTGTAGATTGATTTTCTGATATTGAAATAAGATAAGTTGCCAGGCATCGAAACATATGCCCATAGCATCTAAATTGTTCGAGCGTGCGACAATTGTTGTCGCATATTTATTCTTTTGTAGGTAATTGGGGGGAGGGGCATTTACAAGACAATTTCATACAGATCAGATTATAATTTTCGTCGTTTGAGGGTCCGCAATTTTCTACATATGAAACAAGAGCCTTAACTCTGGTAGTAGCTTACAGAAATTGTTGAAATTTCGTTTTATTAATTTAAATAATGCATATAAATTTGATCTCGAAGATAAGTAATGGTTAATATATACTCACCTTCTGTAGTTGTCTGGAATCCAGTTCCAAGGTTACTAGTAATACATGTTTGTACAATACAACCATTAGCAAGTGTTCTTGTGGCATCCAACGGTTTACAAGTGCCGTCTGAATCTTTACATTCTGAATAACAGAAACATGTTTATAACTTTGTCTTTGAGGGATCAAATATACGATTTATGTGCAAACAAAATGTCGAATAAAATGCGACATAGGTCGCATATAATGTGTAGTGTCGACTAACGTATAAGCACACTGTGTTACAAATTACAACACTACCGTCACATTTTTAATAACACTCAACTCCACTACTCTTTTACTACACACGCGAGATATCATTTTGCCTCTACTGTGGAACAAACAACGTTTTAAGGGATATGTTTTTCATAGTCGTGGTGACAGATTAATTTCGCAGATCACAAAAATATCGACCGAAGGAGCACCCATAATAATGTGACGAGTTCAAAATCACTGCTCAGTGAGTGACTACTCATTTCATCAAGCCTTTTAACTATTCATTAAAATGTTCAGTGATTAAATGGTTGATACACTTACTCGGCTCCTCATTGAAAAATCCAACACCCTCAGGTCGTTTCTCACATGTTTGTTTTAAACACGAACCCGGTGGATTGGTGCGACTGTAACCGTAATCTCGGCATATGGTACCATCCATACAACCTTGAAAAACAATTGTAATGTTAGCACGTCATCCAGTATTTCTGTCATTTTGAGACAAGAGATAATGAAATTTTCAATTTTTCTGGACAGACACATTTCCGTTTAGTCTTCATCGACTTCCAACTGCACAAGGTTCTTTTAAGGTGAATGCTATTGTGGACACATCCTGCCATCCCTGAAAAGTCCATTAGGCCAAAAGCGTGATTGAGAAATAGGTGATTGAATATAACAATGAACGGACTATAAAATAATGTAAGGTATTCCAGCTGACAGGCTGAATATAAAATAAATGTTCTAGACAAAGTAAATACAAAACAAATATTCTAGACAGAGTAACAACAAAACATGTCAAGTATTCTAGATAGAGTGCATATAACTAAACATTCTAGACGATCTAACAACAAATAAATATTCTAGATGAAGTAACTACACAACATTGCAATAAATTTCTAGATCGAGTAGATACAAGCAAATATTCTAGAAGGAATAACTACAATAATGACAAATATTCTAGGTATGGCAACCACAAAAGGTTCTAAAAAGTACCAAGCATTCTATATGGTAAGTACAAAAGGTACTAAAAAGTACCAATTATTCTAGATAGAGTAACAGGAAATAAGTATTCTACACGGAGTAACTACAAGAATTTCAACTATGCTAGATAGAGTAACAACAAAATGTTTTCTAGCCAGAGTAACTACAAAATAAATATTCTAGAGGAGTAACTACAAAATTATCAAGTCTTCTGAACATGCTAGACAAGATCATCGAGTGTTCTAAAACATGTTGAGTAAAAAAGCGTATTCCTTTATAATTGTGAGATTGAACATTCCAACAATTACTGGGGTTTTAGCCGAGAGATCAAATATAATCTCTTGTTTAAACCGAATGGGTGGCATAATGGATCATTAGATAATTCGTTCATCTGCATCAATGCCCTTGACGTCTTTATCTTTATCAATATCCTTGACGTCTTCATCTTTATCAATGCCTTTGACGACTTCATCTTGAGTTACAAATCATTACTTATGTTTCGAAACGATGTTAACATTTTGCACGATCGTGGATATTCGTACTAATATTACTAGTGCTTCATAATTGTTATTGTATGGTGTTGATTGGTCGTCATACGCTTACGACATTCTACGGCAGTTTTAAACTGTTCAAAACTCTCGTACTTCATCGTACGATTTCCTCTGTCGTACTGTGTGCATTTTGTGGGTATTCGACTGACAATGAGATCGTACCAGTTGCGTGGTTCCTTGCAGTATTGCTACCACGACATTACGTCTGCAAGGTCTATTCGGTCAAAATGTGTTCGTGACTGGTCGTACGGGAGTCACGCGTAGTTGGTTCTTATCATATTCGTAATGAAATTGACAGTTTATTAAAATGAAATACCAGCGGCTGCCAGGCAGGGGCGACGACAATATACGTCCACATGAAAATATGGGCGTATAAAAATGGGGTTTAATGTCCTAATGTTCTCCTGATGGGCTAATAGCGACAGGCGTACGCCATGCAATGCGCTATTTCGAATTCCAACTGTCAAGGGTTCTTTTACGTGCACGCCGATATGTACACGGGATCTCTGATATTCGTATCTTCCGACCGACTATGCGTTGTCCCCTGTCAGGCTCCCCATCCTACACCACTGACAAACGGAACCACTCCGGAAAATCCCGATGAACCTTCTCGGTCATCACAGAGAGCGAACATGGGACCTCCAGATTAGCGAGCCAATGTCTTACTCACTGGGCCACCGTGGCTTCCCAATTAACTTATACACGATTTGGTCATGATGGACATTCGTAGACTAAAACCACAATTACCTTCTTTGGTGAGAAAATAACCAAGTCCTGTAACTCGATGCTCACATGTATATTCAAAACAGCCTTGTGTAATTTGATGTCCTAGATCATGACAGTTATTGTTAGAATCTCTACATTCTGAAACAAAAAAAATAAATATATGAAAGTTTACCTGGAAAACGGTGATTCCGCCATTTTGAAATGCAGATACTAAGGAAACTTTTGTATGTCCATATATAATAATACTTACGAACTTGGGTGATTGCCATGCCAATAGCATTTCCATTCAGTTGACATTGACGCGTTATACAGCTCTGTGTACTGGATGCATTCACAGCAACACAATCTCCATTAAACTGACATTCTACAATTTCAGTACAAATCTCTGTTAATATCTCTAATTATAATATAAGCCATAAAAACATATTGTCCGAAAATTGCAAATGGCGATCAGCGGCATTAAGAGCTCCTAATTAATTCCGTATATACAGTATTGTGTCGACTACTCTTCCAATAAGTTCTGGCCATACCCAATAAAACATATTGCAAATGGATGGTCTCTCAAGGATGCGTACCAAAATAGAAGCTAAGGTCGCCAAAAAAACAATTTAAAATACACTTACATAAATCTTAATTGTTCATAGTAGCACTACTATACATTATTTAAAATTTTGAAGTTTTAGTCTATATCCAGCAATGCTTATGACAGTGTTAAATTAGTATACACCTTGGACGGAGCAGATCCCGATGTTGACCGAGAAAGTTCCTTTGGGTTTTTCATCCGGGTGTCCCTTTGTCAGTAGATCTAGGGCCTGGCGGAGAAAAACGTATAATCCCTTGAATGACACGAGGTCAGCACGTGTACTCTTGGCGGTTCAAATTCCGTCTTCATAATCCCGGTTGGTGCAGAAAAAGGGCCTTAAACCATGTCATTTTACAAAGTAAATAAATTGAATGCAGCAGGTGCTTTATTGCGAAACAAAGAGAACTTACGAGGGGCTGTCTTGTAAAATAAATAGAACTTACGAGTAGCTGTATTGTAAAATAAATAGAACTTACGAGGGGCTGTATTGTAAAATGAAGAGAACTTACGATGGAATTTATTGTAAAATAAAGAGAACTTACGAGGGGGTGTGTTGTAAAATCCTGTTCCTGTAGGTCTGGTTTCACAAACTGCAGTATTACATTGTCCAGTATTCAATACATATCCTTCTGGGTGACAGTTACCATTGCTATCCGTGCACTCTGTCATAGAATAACACACATAAACACTATAACATGTATTCAAAGAAAGTGATTAATACATTCATATTTTTAAACGTCTTTTCAGAAATGTAAGGACACCTTTTATCAGTCTTTCGACAAGCCTTATGCAACCTGACATACTGATGTTTGTCAAATTATGTTTGCATAAGGCACTAGCTCACTAACCATGTGGTCCGAGGTTCGATCCCGGTGTTGGCCGACAAAGTTCCAGTGTTTTTTGTGTTGGAGGGAATGCCTGACAAGGACGATGTCTAGGCGTTCGGATGGGACAAAAATTAGGCACGTGTACTATACATGTTAGCGTGCACTTAACAAAAACCTTTGACATTTTGAATTCGATATAAGAGCAGGCCACTGCCCATACACAATTTCCCTCATGGCACACTGTCTACATTATTCCAGTCGGTGCAGAAAAGTCGGCGTTAAACCCTGTTTCACTTCTACCAGATCTCCGAAAATCCAATATAAATGATATAAATTTACCTCTTTTAGTTATTGCCATACCGATTTGACCATTGGTATTTTGACAAGTGTATGTGAAACAATTTGTTGTTCTAGAGAAGTTAACTTCACGACATACACCTTCATCAGAACAACCTACATACAATAAAAAATAACATATAAATCGTATCTAATTTTAATCAGGGCAAATATTTGTTCAGCCATATATAAAATATAAAATAAATAACATTACATCTATATATTTAGTTCCATTACGAGAATGTGCATAAATTTGGAGAGTCGATTATTTTCCGTCTTAACAATAACTATTCGGAGGGTTGGATGGCCGAATGGTTAGCACGCGCGCGCTGTATCATACGGTCTGTCATTGAGTCAACTGGCGGGGTTTCGATTCCCCGGTTGTACGTGACAAGGAGTAGGGTCGTCTGTCCAACCTCGTGGGTTTTCTCCGGGTCCTCCGGTTTCCTCCCACTGCTAAAGACCCCTACGCGCATACGAATTATTGAAATAAAATTAAACCATATGTTAGTCCCGAAATGACCTAGTTTGTGTCGAGTGGACGTTAAACCCCATTTCTCTCTCTCTCTCTCTAACAATAACTATTCAATATATAGATTAGTAGGAGATTCTTATCCAGTCTCACCAAACGCTATTTAATATTGTGGATGGGTTGTGTAGTCTCATCGAAGGTTATTCATTATTGTAGAAGGCATTGTCCAGTCCCGTCAAGGGTTAGTCATTATTGTAGAAGGCGTTTTCAGTCCCGTCAAGGGTTAGTCATTATTCTAGATGATGTTTCCAGTTTCATGAAGGGTTATTTATCATTGTAGGTATTTTATCCAATCTCACCAAGGGTTATACGTTATTGCAGGTGTTTTACCACTCTCATTAAGGGTTATTCATTATTGTAGATATTTTACCGGTTTCTCACGAAGAGAAGATATTTTCGATCGCAAGAGATATCAGAACATATTCTTGTCAACCCCACCAAGTGCTATTCCAAGGCAGATTGTTTTCAGTCTCCACAATTAAATACAGTTTTTAGTCTCAAGTACTATTCAGTCCTACCAAGGACTATTCAATAATTTAGGACCAGAAAATTTGAGTCTTTGCAGTTCAATAATTTAAAATATATTGCCACTTTCAGGGGCTGTTAAGTACTTGCAGTCTCCCCATGAGCTATTCAATAATTCAAATCGTACATATACGATGGTCCACAGTTATCTTAATTGAAAGCACGGGATTTGTTTCTCAGCTATTTGCCCCACTTTGTTTTAGTCTAATGACTCTCTTTATAGGGGGAGTTCTGTAATGCGCGGAATGTGAATTATCGACTCCCTATAGATACTCAGTTATTACAAAGCAGATGTTTTAAATATGGCCTGACTCCATAGCATAACATTTGAGAGTTCTCTCTCTTTTATAGACTGTAGCATCCAATGACGTTTTATTATATTATTATATTAAGAATAACCACAAGTAAAAAGGACATGGTTTTGTGCATGAATGTTATGTAAACTCGTGATATACCCACAGTTTAAAGTGCTTTATTTCTTTTAGTTTACGTCCATAACACTTACCTATACTATCTATTTGAACAGATAGAGAGTTGCCTTCTTTTACACATTTTCTGGTAATGCAAGAATCGGTCATAGTCCCTCCTACATCAAGACACGTACCATCGTAACTACAACCTAGCGATAGAATTCATAAAGGAACAAAGATAATCCATGTACAAAAAAGTATGTACGAACTATAATAGTGGCAGTTTAATATTCATTATTAAATGCATGTGACAAATGTCAAAAACTATAATTAGATTTTATTTTTTTGTTCAATTCAAAAATAATTAAAGGGAAATCACTTTTAGCGTGTGATGTAGTTTTATTCAGGTCATTACATTTCAAACATGGATTTATTTTCAAGCACCTAATATGCAGTCTTTCATTCCTACATAATGGCCACTTGTTCAAAGCAATGTCGAATTTGCAATTTCAGCACTCTTATTCATGACTGTAATAAATTAATCTGAAGAAGCGAATGTTTATATTCAAAATGTTGGCAGAAATCAGACATTCTCTTTAAAAACGTAATAAAAATTTCGGTCGATGCGTTTTGATAGTCCATGATGTGACAGACAGATTTTCATTACCAATTTGATGAATTGATTTAGCTATCGGGTCACTTTGCCAAATATCAGTTTGGCAGCCATCTTGCAAAATGGTCGCCATTTATTTATTTGAAATAGTACGAGTCAGGGCCTAAACAGGTTCACCTATGAATATGTAATATGGCTCAAAATATTCATAATACAATTCTGCATTTAATATTATTAGTTTCAAAATAAAAGATTAATCTTTAAAAAAAAGCAACATTTTCGAATTTTAGTTCATGTATGTTCATAAGTTTACTAACAAATCTTGTTCAGACCCATATTTTCTAAATTATCTATTTGGTCAACTAAAGAGATTTACTAGGTATCAGAAACATTAAAAATAAAAAAAATAATCTCTAATATAAGTGCCCAAATTTAAGATGGGGGTCTAAATTTGTTAAATGGCCAATTTGTCAGATAATAGTCATTTCACTGTTTGATATGACATGTAATATCCAATTGAACATAAATTGACCTAAACAAAAGGTTTTAAAAATCCAAGATGGCGAAAACTCAAAAATGAATGTTGAAAATGATGCTAATAATAATGCTAAAAATGACGCATTCTTTAAAGAATATATCTGGCTTATCCGACCCTCAACCCCTACCCTATAAACAATGGGGCATCAGGAAATGAATATACTGAATCTCATAGATCACAATACATTCCACCAAAACAGTGAGGCATTTTAATTACATCTCCTATGCATTTGCACCATTTATGATATATCCAGTTGTTAAGAATTTAAGTTCTATTCGTTTAGAAATGGTAATGCGATCCGTTTTAGCATCAAAGGCTCTACGGCCAGCAACTTTTGTAATATAGTCTAGATACGGTATCCACAGATCATTTTCGTCAGTGATGCATTTCACAACACGTTAAAAGTTTAAAAAGAATCGTTGTGAAGACTCATTTATGCCAAATGAATAACTTAAGAAGACCACATGCATAATTTGGCTAAAAGTGCTCTGAACATGATTTGGTAGTAAAATATATCTTGAAAAAAAAATACCGAAACGTTGCTTTTTTTTTAAATAATCTGTTGATTTGGAAAATATATGAATCATTCAACAACATGTATCATATAGCAGCAGGTGTAAAATGTTATTGCGTACATTTTGAGCCATATTCCATATCAATAGGCCAATCCATTAAGGAGATATAAGGTTTCCCTGGCACGCTCAATTTCAATGAAATAACGCGGCCATTTTAAAGATGGCCGCCAAAATGGTATTAAGCAAAGTAACTCGGAAGTCCATCAACCAAATTGAAACACTTCAGACACCAGGCTAACTGAAAATCATGGTTGGATTTGTTCATCAAATTGGTAATGATTCGAAATAGTATATAAGGAGAAAGATCGTACGGAATAACAACAATTTACCTTCTTGTGTTAGAAAGAATCCACTTCCCTCTGTCCTCTTTTCGCATGTGTATTTAATACAACCAGAAGCTGACTGCTTTTCTGTTCCAAATGCAACACAAGATCCATCACTGTCTGGACATTCTACAACAAATAGGTGGATTTTGTGCAATATGCTAACCTCCCTATTTCATTTTATTGTACACAGAAAATGTTTACTCCAGGGCAATTGGCCACAAAAAAAAATCACGAACGATTAGATCAATATAATGTAACATTTTTTTGTCCTGCATACCATTTGAGTAAGCATCCACAATACGATTTTTATCAATATGACCTTGAAAGACGGGTTTTTAAATATTGATATAGCTTCGCCCGTTGTCTAGTCTGTCTTACTACATTAACCTTGAAAATAAGAATTGATATTCCAAAGGCAGGAACAAATGGTATTAATCCCTAGTCAACTGCAATAATGTGAAACTTGAGTCTCCAAAAGGAATTTATCTATTCTGTATACTATTCATAAAGATCTGATAAGATATAAATTCGGCATCATTGGGCATCCTTTGCACACGATATGAACAAGCCATCTATATGGCTGCATTGCTTTAGACATCTTCTGGTAATGCAGGGGGGGGGGGGTGAATGGTCGAATGGTTAGCACATGTGCGATGTATCATACGAACTGTCTTTGAGTCAACTGGCGTAGTTTCGATTCCCCGATTGTACGTGACAAGGAGTAGGGTCGTCTGTCCAACCTCGTTGGTTTTCTCCCGGTCCTCCGATGTCCTCCCACTGCTAAAGACCCCTACGCGCAAGCGAATTATTGAAATAAAATTGAACCATGTGTTAGTCCCGAAATGACCTAGTTTGTGTCGAGTGGACTTTAACTCTCTCTTGTACTAGTTCTCTACAGCTACAACCTCTTTTAGTCGATTGATTTTAATCCAGGTGATTATTTACCGTCGCTGTTTTCATAATTAAATGCAAAATAGCCATTCGAGTACAATCGGTCTGCGTTTAATATACAATTCTTACATACCCTCGCTTGTCATTTCCATACCAATTGAAGTACTGCCAAGGACACATGTTCTGGTGACGCATCCCTCAGTTCTGGTGTCACCAACTGCCACACACCCACCGTTAACATTGCACTCTAAAATAGAAAACCAGCACAATATAATATTATATCAACAAATATAGAGAGATGTAGGATTTAACGTCCACTCGACACAAACTAGGTCATTTCGGGACTAAGTCAACAATAATTATTATAACCCTGTTAAAAGGAATGTACATTTAATCCATGCAGTCGACCAGTAAAGGAAATGGTCTCTCGACTAGAATGTCCCGTATTTGAACAATGACATGAAACACATCCTTTATGATAAATAGAATGTCAATCGAATGCTAAGGAAGAATCCTATCGAAGTCGAGGAAGTATGTTCCCTGGCAAGCTATGTTACTCAAGGTACTTTCAGCTTTTATGCATACCTATTAATCATCACTGGACTTTGGCATTTTTATCAACGAATCAAATAATTATTGCCTCAATAAAGCATGGAAAACATTATGTCCAAGTATTGACGTGGATATAAACGTAGTTCAAATGTAAGGTGATATTTAGAATTCTTTGATCGAGGTCAAAGATGAACATGTCGAGTTTACTGGATCTTGCTTTCTTGGAGGCCGATCCATTAGCAATCGAATTTTACCTTAAAAGATAAAGCCAGTCTTGGGACATATTCGATCGTTATCTCCTGTGTCGACCCAGTAAGCTAAAAGCGACTGCTAAATTAGCAAACACGCCAACTTCCGCTAAATCTTTCGAAATTATCGTCTTGCGGTGTTCGTTACCTCGTTTTGTTGATCTAAAACCATAGCTTGTTCCAGTATGCTCACACGTATCTTCAAAACAGCCATTATTACTGCTTCTTACATAACCGATAGGTCTACACACATCCCCATCCAAACATTCTACAAGATAACACACAAAATAAAATAATCTGAACATTCTAGTTATTTAAAGAGAAAATTAATGTAATTTGAATAACATTATATTCAAAATAGCCTTAGACTCAGACACACAATTATCAAAAATCAGCGCGTTGACTTAGAGTAAGATTTTTTTACGCGCGTTCGCTAAACGCCTAGAAAAGCACTAAAAGATAATATGTTCTTAAAACACTTATATTTATACGTAGAATTGACCCATTTGTCCCAAATTTTACACTCCCGCTGTAACTGTGTTAAATTATCTCCACAGTGCAAATGCTCATTCAGCATACATAGAATACATTGACAATAGATAGCTGCCCTAATGTCGCCATGTTGAAAAATTAGTGTATTTTTTAGTCTCGGTCACCCAGAATTTCCTAGTATTCAACGTACGCCAAGAATCCCATAGTTTTCAACGTACGGAGGGTCTGGGACCGGTGTCGATATTTGACGAAAAGTCCATTGCCCATGCGTAACCGGGAGTTTGGTTTTTAATGTGGTTAATTATCCAGTATCTTTGACCAAGTCAAGTAAGAGTTGCACCCCGTCAAGCAATAAATACCGTAATTCTTGCATTAATAATATATAAACAAACATGAATCGTGACGACGAATTAGGTTTAATTCAAAAATATAGATATGACCCATGAAGGGAGAAATTGTTTAATAAAAAAAGGCGTGTTGGCATGCAATCAAATGGATTTTTTGAAATGACATTCTTAAAATAATTTCATGGGTGTCAACATCTTGTTTTAGGACCAGTTACCTCCCTTAAACTTTGTATATGAAAATGTAAAAGGCCGGATAATATAGCCAATGACCTATTATTCTCAAATGTTGACACGCACGCATCCAGACTAATATTCGAAGAATATTTTTCTAGATGATAGAGACCATGCACTTTTTTGTTATGCGCTTAGCGTTTTCGACTAAACCGGCGGAGCTGATTGAAGTTTCGTATGTGCAAATGTCTTTAAATTCAATAGAAAGAACATGGACGCAGATCAAGGTTATTGTAACGTTTGTATCTTATTTCATTTTTCATTAATGTTTTTTTTTTATCGTAATGGCATATTTTTTTTCTAAATTAGAGAACAGAGATTTTGAAAGGACTCACCAACACTGTCAATTACAACGCCAAACGAACCGTCGGCATTGAGAACACATTTTCTTGTTACACAACCCTGTTTATCTGTAGCATTCATAGCTAGACAACCGCCATCATAAGAGCAATCTGAAGAATAATAATACAACAAAACGTGAATTATGACATTGATATGTAAGCACAGCCTATATTTAGAGCAAATGTAGTCAGCGTTCAGTGCTTCTCAGTAGCTAGGTCAGCGTTCAAAAATCCTCCGTAGATCAGCCTCCAAGGATTCTCAGTGTTCAAAGCTTCTCGGTAGCAAGGTCAGCGTCCAAGATTTCTCAGTAGATAAAGTGAGCGTTCAAAGCTTCTCAGTAGCTAAGTCGGCGTCCAAGGCTTCTCGGTAGCTTAATCGGTGTTCACGGCTTCTGCTAAATGACTTGGAGGTATGGTTACCGATCATTTCAATGATCTAATCAAAACCACAAGTTAGTTTCGTTCTGGGTTTTTTTTTGGTTTTTTTTTTTTGTTTTTTTGTTTTTTGGGGTTTTTTTTATGACAACCGTAGTTGAGGAAACAACAGGATAACATCTATCGGAATGAATTTTAATGCATCTTCGCGGACCAAAATGAATAATTATACTGTAAGAAAAATAATCCGGGTTATCGGAAATAATCTAAAGGACTTTTAAGACCTTTTTTCAGTTTGCGTCAAAAATATAAAATGAAAATTTGGTTTCTAGGCTGACATAACATATCAGATCAACTCAATTTAATACATTAGTTAGCTCAAGGATGTTTTTGATTTTCAGTATTCGAATCTGGATTTCTCTATTTACATTTAACACTACTTTTTATAAATCTCTTGGAGCCACAGTGGCTCAGTGAGTAAGGAGGTGGGTCAAGAACAAAAGTGTCCGGTGTTCGATCCCGGTGTTGGCCGAATAAATTCCCTGGAATTTTTCAGCGTGGTTTCCCCTTGTCAGTGATACAGGACGGAGGGCCTGGCAATGAACAGTGTCTAGTCGTTCGGATAGGACGAAAACCTGAGGTCCCGTGTACACATTGGGGACCCTTGACTGTTGGAATTCGAAATAAGAGTAGGCAGTAGAGCCGCTCTCCAGGCAAAATTTCCCTGATAGCACACTCTATGCTCGTCTTCGTTAGCCGAATCAGTGCAGAAAAGTAGGACGCTAAAGCCTAGTTCATCTCATTTATAAATCCCTTCGGGCTTCAATCGTGTACTTTATAATCATGATCTTAAGAATCGAAAATAAATCTATCCTACATTTAAACAAAGTTAAAACGATAAAAAATATTAGTTAAACATGTACATTTATTTTATAAAGCTAAATCGATAAAACAAACAGTTAAACATACCCATTTGTCTTATGTAAAATCCAATATATCCAGATCTGGATTCACATGTCTGTTTAATACAACCGCCTTGACTTTCTTGTACATAGCCTATTGGTCTACATATATTATCATTACCCAAGCAATCTGAAAACACGTCTTGTATATAATCACCTGATATTTGGTCTTATTTATGTGCATAAATACATTCTGTGATTACATATAATGTGTCTCATAATATTCACCATATGTTTAGTGCAATTTAGCCCGGTTGGAGATGACGTGCCATCAAACAACTTCTTTTCATTCATAAAAAATAACTAACTATAAAATGAATAATCGAGACTGTGCTTTTTATCGTAGCAATGGTACTTAACAGTGATAACTTAGCTCAGAATAAATTTATTTGCCTGAAAGTTTTAATATATTCATATCCCATTATCGATTTTAGAACTATTAAAACAGAAATGTTCGGGTGTATGTCTAAATCTTACATAATGAATCTTTAAAGAAATAAATGTTTATCATCCAATTGACATTAGCCAGTTCGCTTTGGTTACCTTGTCGCCCCCAAACGCGAATTTGAGTAACAGACAATGATAACAGGTTTCAGATCATACACTACCCCAAGCCATTCGCGTTAAATTTCAAAGAAGTTATTCAAATCCACAATAGGCGTGATATAAATCAAAAAATGTTTAAATAAAACTATAAATAAACTTACTATAAGTAGTTTCTAAAGAATATGTTGTATCTGTTCTTACACAGGTTTTATTATTACAGTTTTCTACAACTGATTCACCAACATCCAAACAATCGTTTCCATTTAAACAACCTAAAATAAGGATGTAAAGGATACATTTTAAACGCATATAATTAAGACAAGCCTGGAACATTTATATCCAATTTTCTTTTGATACTATACAGATTCTTAACTCTAAAATCATAAATAACTTTCAATGTATTCTGATCATATGGTGTTCTCCAGGGATCCATTTTGGGGCCATTGCTCTTTCTTGAATGGACTACAAAATAACCGATAAAAATCTCGATACTGCTGATTTGTCACTTAACAATACCCCAATATTTAATGCTTCATTTTGAATTAGACGTTCTTCCCATCATGCGTTGAAGGAATTAAACGCCATCATCATATGGTAAAACGGCTGGTAGATGTACGGTTTTAATCGCTGTTTAAAAGAGGACTTAAAGGACAACAATATTGGTGGCAGCCATTATCAAATATGTGACAGAACTGTTAAACACATTCCAAATATAATTTTAAAACACGGATCATTGCTACAGTAGATGCGTAACGAAGATTTAAAGAAACAAATAATGCAAAAAATCAAAAACAAAAGTTATCTTTTCCTATAACTGACTGAAGTAACGCGCGATAACAGATACACGGTCGAATTTCTGCTCAGTGATAATTCCTTCGAAACGAAAAGTTGTTATATGAGACTGTAAGAGAATATCTAACAATTACAAAAAATAATTGAATGTCACTAGAAAAGAGAAACAGAAGTAACGCAAAAAAGAAATATATTAAAAACAAGGGTTATCTTTCCATATAACTGACTGAAGTAACGCGCGATAACAGTAACAAATACACGGTAGAATTTCTGCTGACTGATAATTCCTTCGAAGACGAAGAGATGTTATATGAGACTGTAAGAGGATATCTGACAATTAAAAAAAATAATTGAATGTCACTAGAAAAGAGAAAACGAGAAAAATAGAAAAGGCCCATACATTCACTTGTTTTTATTCATTCTATACTTAATAAAAACCACTAGTCTCCTTTAAAAGTGTACCAAATATGACATTTGAATAAATAAACCACAAACAGATTTATTTCAATTTTAAATTCAAGATGATAAGTTTGTCTATTTCAATTTTTGTTTGAAATTTAACTTAGTTGTTTAAGAAACTTATTACGTACAGCAGTCTGATATATTTATGTACAGTACAGTTGAATTTAATTTAATTTGGAAGTTTTGTAAATAATCAGTTGAAATAAAATAGTATTCGAATGAGTTGCATTACATCAATCTGCGCCTATTTCCTCAAGCTTTAGATATATTTGCCTGTCGATAAGCAGTAACAGATTTTCATTAAAATAAATTGGTAACATGTTTCGAGGGCAACATATTTAACTGAACAAATAAATACATTTATGTGATAATATATGGTTTCTTAATAATTCTTTTCAACAACTAAACAATCTATTTATCACAACACCAATAAATCTTAATAAATCTGTTGACGTTTTTAAATAGTGCGGGCGACCCAATCAATTGACCACACATAATGTAAATTTGTAAGTTTGTGACGTGTATGCAGTATCAGAACTCTGATTTTCCAACGTTCTTATTTATTTGTTTAATTCCGTATTGATAGTTTTTCTTGGCATCTAAGTTATTCGCTTAAATTAAAAACAGAAATACAAATGATCCTGGCCAGAATATCAGCCCATAAACGGTCGCGTTCATCCAAGATTCAGAGTCTATTTTTGTTTGGGTGTGGCTATCGTCTGAAGATATTCGTCTATTTTCCACAAGCGGTAAAGACATTCCGATTTCGCCCACTGTATCTCACGGGTGCGTCTTTAACTATGGCGATTGGGGTTGCGCACTAACTTTTTGGTCCTGGCATTCCTGGCATCCACTGGACTTGTCTTTGGAAAAATTATTTTGTCCGCGGAATTTAGCTCCACTGTCGGCCGTATGACGTCAGATTTCTCGTGAGAATTTCTCAAGAAGATTTTTTTTACCTGGGATTCTTTCTAGATTACATAAAAGTACGAAGTAGCGGATAATTTCCTATATATATAGTCCTGAGTATATATAAGCCAAAAGTTAATCTTAAATGTTGTATTTTATCTCAAACTGACATTTTGAATGGATTATTTTAATTATCTTCAATCAAACATAACTAAATTACTTACCATCTTTAGTGATATAGAAACCAATAAAACCATTTCTCTTTTCACATGTTTGAGTTACACAACCACTAGTCTTGGAAACGCCTTCATTATAGCATTCTCCATCACTGTACATGCATTCTAAGATACAAAATTAGGTTTTAACATCTAGTTTCAAAAGGAAACGCTTTGGCGGGGTGGGGGGGGGGGGGGGGTTAAATTAATAAACAAATTTATAACATGGGGTCTGCCAGAGAGAAATTTATAAGGGTCATGTTAAGGTTGATTTCTAGCATATTTGCGCCACGGTGCCACGGTATATTTTTGGCACTGCATGATTGAGCAATATGATTATATAAACCAGGTGCTTCTTTTCCATTTGGGAGGAGGCTCAAAAAAATTTGGTAAAACCCTGAATTTCAACAGTCCCGAATCTCAGTTGAATTCGATACCTTACAGACAAACAGGCGTCATGTGCACCGATGCTCCTCAGTAGTAATATATTCTTTCAGGGTCAAAACGAAAGAGCAGTCCTTAAAACCCGGTCGATATGTAAACACCGTTATTTTATGACTACTATCTGAATTGGACAAAAATGGGTAAACTGACAAAAATACCGTTTTGTCGCTGGCTTATATGAAGGAAAGTAGTTATGTTTTTTTTTATTTTCGACCATAATACTTTCCCTCGTAATTTTTTTGTTACTGCCGGCACAGTATGTTATATAATTAGTTAAACAATTCTGATTGGCAAAAACTTACGCTGAGATTCTGGTCCATATCCTCCGTTATCACATTTATAAATTATGCATGGCCCACTAGCAGTTGTCGTAAATGTTGTATTATGCGCATGTGATACTCCCTCAACTTCACAAGGGGTGTCTGAAAATATAAATAAAATCATATGTATCTGAGGAATGCATATTATAAAAACTTTAGATCATATAATTCCTTTTCAACGATTCGTTGTGTCTCTTGTTGCTGATAAGATGAATGATATACATATATTTGACAATACTTTATCAACAATATATTCGAATTTACACTATCGCAACGTAAATATCATTTAATTTGCATATATCAGGTATGCATTTATGTACATTTTTCAGTGGTCAATTTTTAGCATTAATAGCTGACATACTATACAATACTACCCATGGTACTAAATAATTTTACAATGTTTCTCCCTTATTTCTATTATTTCAAGGAATGATCAACCACAAAGTTCAATGTCCAAAATTATGTTTTTTTAAAAAGAAAGCACCAATGTGCATCTAGTAACAACTTTTCCCCTGTTCCATCAAACAGTTTTTGTTTTTAGATACTACTGTTCCATGGCCAGCTTTTCATCTAAATACATGACCATAGATCCAGATCCCGGATTGGACAAACTGGACATAGACCGTCTTACGGTGAAATGGACAGAAAATTCTACAAAGTTCTATACATTTACTGAATGTTTCTTACACCTGCTCTCTAATATTGGCAATTCCAATCAATTGACAAAAATAAAAGATATATTCAGCTGATCCTCAGTCCACGATAGTTATTATTTAAACAATAAAAATGATAGCTTACCTGTGCCAGCCTGAATGGCGAGTGGAAATAATGCTAGAATTACCACAAACAACATCTTGATGAATCGGTTCTTCAAGTTCTTCAACTTCTGTCTTTTTTGTGGCTGGAATATCTCTTATATAAGGTAACTTGATACGTCACTGTCACCTGTCTGAATACGGTGCTGTCTTATAATATATTGTCAGTATATTAACATGACACTTCTATATTGATTAGCACTTTTATTGAATTAAAATTTGATTCTACACAATCCTTAGAATCCTTAGAATCAGGTCGAAATATTGGTCACAAGTCGCAACAGCTTTTTGACATTTGCCAGTTGACATCGATTATATGTCTGCCTTAAAAGTTATTTGAATGTATTTTGTTGGGATGTGTCCATGAAAAAAACAACGCCGACATTAATGGCTGTGACATTTTTTTCAATCACATTTAAAAATGTCAATATGAATTGTTTTCGTTGACATGAGCATTACTTGTCAAAACAAAATGACCCAAAATTCAATACTTTGCATAGGGAATATTTTTTCTATTAGAAAAAACTTTTGTAAGACAGTGGGAATCATTGTATGTTCTAGTAGATAGTTCCCAATTTATACGTCAATAATGTATACCCTTCGACTCACGCGAAAGAATAACTATATGTATAATAATAAAATACAGTTTAAGTTATACCGTCGGGTGAGCTTCATTTTGCGATATAGAACTGAAGAAAAATTTAAGTAGGAGTAACAGTATAAATAACGACTGAAAGCTGAGCGTCGAGCACAAACTCAATTTCAGATGAGTCATTTGTATATCTAGTATTATATTATATTTCAAATATATATGTAAATGGAAATGATACAGATATAAATAATAATAAAGTTTAGTTTAATATGTACTGCGATATTAAAGTAACGATGCAAAATTTACATTTCCGGAAAATTTCAAATTTCTCGTCTTAAAGAGCTAAATCTACCTTTATAGGTATTTTTTTCTGGATTCAAATGTTATATAAACTATTATTTAGACATTTATTTTCATGATACTTCTTTAATTAACGCCCTAGACCATTGCTCAGAATAAAGTAATCTGAATGAAATTTTCAATATATTCATTTTTCATTATCTATTTTGAAACTATTTTAGGAAGAACGGCCATCTCTTTTTCTCCTTCTTACTATAATGCATCTTTAATCCAACCTATTATGTACTCAGACCCTACGTCTTTCATGTACAAGCTTTGAATATGATGCTTATCCGTTTGATTTTGAACACTCAACCACCAAACTTCCGCTTCACTGGCCACGGAAATAATTCAGATTGTTTTATCTATATCTGAAAAGTATGGCAATTAATCACCTATCACTTACCTGCCATGGTATATTGTACGCTTACCAGTTCATCCACAAAGGTCCCAGGTCTCCAGTGTAGCCTATTGTACGAAGGTGCATTACTGTATATCATTTATTCTCATAAAATAGTTAATTAGGGTTTAAACGAATACGCCCGAGTAATCATTCTACTAAGGTAATCTTGTTTTACCAGTTTTGTTTTTATTACTTCCACTTCACTTACCTCTTTATATTTTTATTTAAATGACTTTTAAAAGCAGATTGACCTTCATGGTCATCCATTCAACTTTTGAGATTTTAATTAAATTAAAACTTCAAACGGTATAAGAAATATATACAGGTAGGGATGGATAGCATACGGTGTCACAATTTATTCCTGTCGTCCGTGACATTTAATATACCGCGCCGGACGAAGTTAGGGAGAGATATAAAGGAGTTCTGTCCGCCTTTATGTGCGTCCTTCGGTTTCGGATTTGTTTCGGGTCGGGACATCTCATAAACGTTCAAGATATCTTTATGAAATAGTGCATACAGGTCATCCTATTGTAGCATTTATGCCTTTTGCTGATTATAATAATTGATTATGTTTATATGGAAACACAATCAGGTGACCTATTTCTGTCTACACAATTATTATTCCGTAGCATATCTAATAAACCTTCAATATATCTTTATACAACTTTGTTCACATATCAACCTATTAAAGTAGTTGTGCCTTTAATTTACTAATCAAGAATTTCTCGGATATACATGTAACTATTTTTGTATTTCCAAACAAATTTGACTTTAGTTTTTTCTATACAATTTTTATTCGGACGTATATTTCATAAACTGTTATCTCTATGATATATTTATGAAACTGGGTGTAGCCACCGGTACTTAGGCTCTAGGTATTACCGGTATTAATACTGTTAAATTTTCCTTTTAAATTATTTTACATTGACATTACAATTTTACAAATTTCTTCGTTCCATAATGTTTGTTTCCACCGAAAAGATTTGATTTAGGGTTTGATATATGATGACTTTGTGAGCAAAGGGGTATTGATTAGACCCTTTTAACGTTCAGCGTTCTATAGACAAAACCATCGATTGGAGAATATATTTAAACTACAGGGAAAAATATAATACTTAAAAACAGCATATCGTATGTGGAATCTCAGTCTAAAACCAGTAACCCGCCAATTAGTTCAAGATGATAAGACCGGCCCCCACCTGTATACCATCTCTTATCTGTATATACATATATATTAATACACTTGATATTGCTTTTCCTTTCTAACTTCTTTGTCTTGAAATTCAAGTCAACTTAGTTCTTAGAAAAGCCACATTAGCATGCTAAGCTTCATATGTCCATGTGCCACCAAGATCAACAACAAGAACGGTAACGGTTGAGCTCAGTTCTTTATTATTAGTCTCCTTCATTATGAGGTTTTAAATAGAATTTGATCATGCTCTGTCATATGTCACTCAAGACGACTAGCTTTGCAACGTCACATTGTTTCACACAGGAAATCATGTGTTGCTTCTGAAGAGATCGCGGTTGTGACAGCATAAGAGACCTTCGCAGGGTTGGACTTTTTGTAAGCTAAATAACCATATTCCCATCGCCAAAAAAACTGTCATACTTTCAAATAAAAAATTTCCGGTATACCAGATTGTCTTATTATCCTTGTCATATTGTAATTTAGTATTTCGATACTTTTGCATTTCGGTGGTCTTTAGGTATTCAAACCTAGTATGGTGTAACCCTTAAATTTGATATCCTTTCATTTCAAAATTATATTATTTTCTGGGCCACATAAATTAAAAATAAAAACAAGTTTTATGTTAATAGTTTATGACAGAACGAAAATAAAGATGATAAAGATGATTTTTCTCTTTTTTTTAAACAAAGAAATCAAGAAATAAAAAATAACCTAAACACAGAGTTTTCAAGAAAACTGCAATCAATTATTAGGCTCTGCATGACATTTATGGGTGAATAAAAATGGTGAAATATATATGAAAACTCGATGTGTATATGGGACATGGGATTTGATAAAGGAAATAATTGCAGTGTCTGTTTGACGTGCTATAGGTGTATCAAGGTACTTCTACAAATCTGTGTGAATTTGCTAACACAAAGCCAAGACAATATTATTATTAACACTATACATTGATTGACACGAGACACTGTAAGAATCAATTAAAACCAAATAAACTTAATATACACATTGATAGTAAACAAAATAAAACAATCATAAGAAATTATAAGAAATAGCATTTTCGTAAAATATCATTTACTATAAGTATAATCAATGTTGTATTCAAATATATCAAATGCACAATCTGGTTATGATAGAAAGATGTTAATTTTAGTTTTAAATGGACAATATGTTGTTATAGGTTCATTTGTTTAAAAGTATTAACTTATAATATTAGTTATTACAGGTATACTGTATATAATTTAAAATTTTATGACAGGTACAGTTGTGTGTTAGTTGACCCTTCATATCCTTGGAAAATCGACTTCCAATAGGATGACAGCTGCCATTAATACCTTCACATTCTATTAAAAATTTAAAAAGTCTTGAAATTAAAACAAACTTACGTTAAGACAAACGTCTTAAGAGCTAAATCTGCCGATTGCTGGTTTTTCTTTGGGCCTTATATGTTATTCAAATTATTAATTAAACATTTATTAACATGACAAGAACATAATCAATTCTCGATGCCATCGCATGGCTTCGATTTTAAGTAGATTAGAACGGTTCGGCCACTTAATGATTTAAAAATGGAGAAAGGAGGCTAAGACTCAAATGACCAGTATGGTGTATTTTTCGATTGTTTTAACGCTCCTGACAAATACCTTACTGTAAGTAGATCACTTTAATAATTACGGGAGCATATCTTTGAATACGATATTATCTAAAATTAGGTTTTGATTACCCCGATTGTACATGACAAGGAGTACGATCGCCTGTCCAATCTCGTGGTTTTTTCCCGGATCCTCTGGTTTCCTCATAACTAAAGACCCTTACGCGCAAGCGAATTATTGATATGACCTAGTCTCTCTCTGTAATTGAGTCAAGAGTGATGACTAAGAATCCCAGCTTGTACGTGACAAGGATTATGGCAGCCCGCTCAACCTCGTGGACTTTTCTCCCACTTGATTGATTGATAAAGACACCTACACGCAAGCAAATTATTATAATAAAATTGTGCGATGTTAGTCCCGAAATACATAGTTTTATATCGGAAGGATGTTGAACCACATTTCTATATCTCTCTCTCGGAGGCACAGGTCTCATCGCATCTCTCTCTCTCTCTCTCTCTCTCTCTCTCTCTTCTTGTTGCTTCAAAGACTTTATAACTTACGCGTTTGTGAACTTCTTATTTGAAATGCTGTATAACCAGGCAAAGGATTGTGTTTGTAGCAGGTTTTTGTTTCACACTTGTCTGTCCAAGTTGATCCTATTGGTCGACATGTTGCACCATCATAACATCCACTGCCTTTTAAAACAAACAGATATTTCGGTTTAATCTTTTTCTCAAATTTCGTGTCTTAAGTGCTTCTGTGAAAATTTGACTAAATTTTTATACAGATGGGGAACACAAAACAGATAAGGGGTGAGACAAATGGAGAAAATACACTGATAACAACTAAACAAAATGGAGTTTTATGTACGCCAACATAATAATTGAAACAATTTATTATCATGTGACGAAATTAATTAAATAAATTATATGTCTAAAATGATAATTACCGTTATCAATCACTTGCAACGAATATCTATTGTTCGTATTTAAACACTGCTTGCTAATACAACCCTCTTTTATTACACTGTTGAGAGGTACACAGTCATATGGTGGTACAGCATTCTTTGCACAACCTATACAACAAAAAAGCAACATGAGCCTGTTCGGATGTATAACATTTAAGCATGTATGAAAATTTGCACATATGCATTTTTGCACATGTGTGTAACGAGTTTTAAGTAAGATATGTAAATATCAATCAATCTCCATTCGGCTTTTGCCAGTTCATAATGGATAGCCAAATATCATACCGTCGAAGGATAAGACAACGATTTCTTATCAACCATGGCTTGGGCTAGTAATGACTGCCAACATCAATAGCAGACTGTAGAACTGCAGCAAGACCTTTCGGTGTCGCATGGCACTATTTTCACATGGTGCTGATGTGAACAGGTGTAAGTTGATATTTGTACTACCGTCTGACTTGATATAAATTTACACGTGTATGTAATTGCGATCGCATAACAAGAATTATATATGTGTGTATAATTAGTACAAATGTAAATTAGCATAATATATGGTGTCTGCGAACAAGATAATAGACATACAAATAGAATATTGTCAGATCGTGATCTTCCTTGCGCTTATCCTGAGCATTTAGTGATATGTTATTTATTCTCTGCATATGTAGAATCAGAAAAGGTGATGAGAGTTTTATTTTTACCTTCGGTTATGAGCTTTGCTTTATAAGTGGTGTATGATCCCATGTTGGTTTCTTTACATTGGTATGTAAAACACCTGTCTACATAACTCTCTCCAACTTTTAAACATGTATTACCTACTTGACATCCTTCAAATATACAAAAAACATATGGATATTAAACACATATTAAAGAAAATGATTGTAAATAATAGTTCTATTTCTATTCCGCGTATTATGCTATGATGGTTTCTTTACATTCGTATGTAAAACACCTCCATTCAAAAACCTTTTAAGCACCTATTATCAATATGGCAGCCTTCAACTATACAAAAAACCATCTCAATTTATTTAATTAAAAGGTAATATAATTCGTGTCCAGTAGACGCTTATCAAGTTTGAGTATAAAGACGTAATATCATGTTTTCACATAATTATGCAATCTAAAGACAACTCAAGGTTAATCAGCTGTTGAACGAGGAACGCGTCATAAATAGCACCTGGATAGATATATTAGAATAATTAATTTGCTTGTAAAACTGTATGAAATTAAAATAACATAAATTCATATTAAACAAAAAAGATTTTGAAAATTTGTATAGTTATGAAATCTACTGGAGTAATTATTTTGGAAACAAATCCAATAACTATGCACATTCCATAGCCCAGGAGAGGGTTGGTTAAAGGAAAGCAAAGAAACATTTGAAGATATATTCCTTCAAGATCCCTAAAACTAATTACTGGGCCATCGATTAGGAGATATATTCTAACCACAAGGACAACTATAATTGTTGCTCACAACATTACAATTTACCATTATAATGTGGGCTGTCTTTCCTATCACAAATTTAATAGTGCAGTTAATACGTTATTTTTAAATGTTTGAATGGGCAGGCAATACTTCAGCACATTCAAATTGTCAGCTGAAACCTATGACCACATGCCCCAGCACCATCATATTGTCTTATCTATACTGTTTCAATTCAACTATCAACCGATCAATATGAAATCAGTTATATCTTAATAATATCTTCAATTGTAAACACCTAATCAAAGTCTAGAAACGTTATACCAGATATGTATGTACTTTAATATTAACCAGAACACTTAGGTTAAGGCGAATATTTATTATTTATGTCCAATAAAGCGCGATTTGTAAACAAATTGTTTATTATTTCTATTCAAGTTTCGCCCACCTCATGTTAGAAGTGTAACATGAATAAATAAATCAATAGGACCGTTTTAATACATAGTAAATAACCATCAACAATAGTTAGGCTGTCAAAGTAGATTAAGGAAACCTGTGTTATTGTTCAAATATTAACATATAATAATTTCCACTTAATTGAACTCATATTTGCACATGTCAGTCAATCGTATTATGTTTAATAAACACGAACCGCCGTCCGGTCTATTTTTTCCACTGGTTGGGGTTTTGTCTTTTTTTCTAAAGATTGGACGAACGGTGCAAAAAATCAGATCTTCGGTGGAATTTTCATAATGATTAACAGTAAAAACTAAAAAAAGATTACATTTTCTATGGCAACGTCTACTAATTAGCAACCTTTATCGGCCTTCTGCCAGTCATACAAAACCAGACAATGGTATAATTTGGACCAAGTTTAGTCAGTAAACCACATCACTGTGCAAATTCAGCAAATTCAGCAAATGCTGTGCCATAGTCTTTTAAAAGGTGGTCCCAGGTTTAAACATTACCCTCTTATGATTTGTTATTTGCACTTATCGTTCACTTATTGATATGTTTACGTGTGTTAGTTAAGGTGTGGAGACATGAGAAGAATTTGATATAAAATATGAAAGACGTAATAGAGTTGAGATTCTATTTAAGATCACACACACGCGAATGACACCCCCAGGAGGTTAGTCTATAGAACAGATGTTACACATTTCAATCACACCTTGATTTTACCATTTAGGTACGTAAACAGAACAATGGTCACACACAGCTTCGACTTATGACACTGGTGTTGATTCATTGAAACATTCTATTGACCTTGTCCTCAAAATCCAGATCCCACTCTTTGCGTCATAGTTTCTACGATTGTTATGATCCTTTTATCGGAGTCGGACAGCAATCATGTTTGAGATCATTGCCTTTGTTATCGAAACCTTGTAAACCAAATTCATAGGTTCTGGAACTGGTGACCAAGCGCTAACCATCTGATTAACCTTATTGTTCTTGGCGCGAAGCACTTGGCATGGTTTGTCCTTGGACAATTGCTCATCGATTGATTCTGAGACTATGAAGATATTTGTTGTCTTCAGGAGACCAAATAATTAATTTAGAAGTAATTCATAACCATCTCGAACTAATATACAACTTATCTTTAATTGAGTAGTAATATCTATGTCACATCTCCTGAGGATATTGAGTAGGACCCTATAGCTGAAGCTGATCTTGCGCATTGAGATCGAATACATAGACCAGCTGTTTTAATATAATAGAGAGGAAAGGTTCGTTATCCGGCAATTTATCTTTAAATAGTAGCATCTGTGCCATATTACCTGTGGATAATGGGTAGAATCCTATAGCTGAACCTGATCTCGCACATTGAGATCGAATACATTGACCGTTTGTTTTAATATAACCAAGAGGCAAACATTTTCCATGTCCATCATCACATTCTACAACAAACAAAATCACAAATCGTCATGTCAACGAATAAAATGCTACTGCATTTAAAAGAATATGGTCTCTTTTTAAAAAGATACGTCTGTAGAAAAAGGATACCTTGAGATAAAACCAGTTTTAAGTTCAACAGCCGACAACTTAAAGGGGGAAAAACGAAAGTAAAAATTAATTATAAGACTTTATAACTTTACTATAGCCGTTGGTCTGGCGAAGCACGTGTAAAGCCATGAACCGTAAGTAACATAACTAAGAAACCGGAAGTGGTAGGCCATCGCCACCAGGTCTATGTTACTCCCCTGTCCGACCTACCAATATACACCAAATTTCAGCATCGGGACAGTCCTAGTGTAGCCGCCAACACTGAACTAAATTAAAAATGGTTAATATACAGCTTGTTCTATTACTAATTAAAATAACACAGCAGATCAACCCGATTCAACATCATATTTTGACCTAAATCAAAGGAAGATTAGCTTCTTTAAACCAAACACTCTGTATTGAACAAGACAAAACATGCACGTTTTAACCATTAAAATAAATATCAATTCTTGAAATATCTACAACATTATCACGTGGAACCGGCGATTAGCGCCATAAGGCCATAGTGCCGCTGCCCGGACAAAAATTTTCCTCATAGTACACTGTATGGCGTATGCCCGTCTTCATTAGCCCAGTCGGAGCAGAACAGTGGGACGTTTATTTCATTTCATGATGGTATGTTAAAGAAAATTGACTTTGGCACCTAGAAATGAACGCAAATGGGTCGCAACGCATATAATAATGCAATATGAATGTACATAAACTGATTTACATTCAATCGTTTCTGTTTTACTGTAATTTCTGATCAGTTATGTTCAGCGAAATTGAATGGCAAATTGAATGGCAGTCTTTGGGGTCTGGTTTTTCCAGTCGTCACCGGTAGTATTCTATGGTTAGCCTCGTTCATCGAGTCGCTTCATTACAAATGGCACTCGAAATCATTCTGCCACACGATTCGTATGTCAATTTTAAATTTTTCATTTTATCTTTAATATTGGATATCAGAAGCCCGTCTTTTCACGGCAAGATAACAACATCAGTGTTGATTTAAATTGACCAACAAGTCCTGTTTGGTCTTGTTCAGTACAACCCTACTTTTTAATAAACTTTTTTTTACAGTATTAAATACATTTAAAAAGGCATAATTTGAAATAAAATATAGATTTTCCAACACTTTATTGGATTTGACTTTATGAAATTCCTACTCATTTTTCATTTCTTATTACAAACAGAACAAAAACTGGCGTTTGACACCGTCTATAGACATGTCTTTGTGGGGTTTTTTAAAGTAAAATAGATAATATTGACTTTATGCTTTAATAAAATTCTTAAGAAGTTACGATTTGAATGCAATATGTTACCAGATATTTATTGTACATTGTGTTTTATCGCAGCCTATTCATACCAAGGTCATATATATTTTTCAAAATGAAACAAGGTTTGGAATTCTCTTTCCATTTTGAAAACGAATAATCGGCAGACGTTTCAAAGAGTATATTTTGAATAAATTGTCATTTTGATCACATACGCCACCGACAGCTTTGTCTGCAGTGAAGATTCAAACGGGGGTACATTTTTATCATTTTCTTAAAATGTCCATGATGGTGGAATGGTTAGATCAGATTAATACGAAATGTATCTTTAATGCTTATTAATTAATGAAATACAATTTCGCTCACACAGATAGAATAATGGGGTGACAAATAGGGTATTTTTTAGGATTGGTTAGAGCTGTTACATATATTTAAACAATTCATTAAGGCATTGACTTACCAAACTTTGTGGCACTGTAACCCCCGCTATGACAGGTGTACTCTATGCAGGGTCCACTAAATGATATTGTAAAAGTTTGGCCAACATTATAACTTCTACCATCTACTATACATGCTGAAAATAATCATATTATCATATTATCATAAGAGACTCGTGCTATTGTACAGTGAAATCCAGCTATTAAGATCAGTTGCGTGACTGATATGGAGAGGTCGTTCCAATGGGTAAGAATCCCAAGGATACAGATTTTAATCATTGATTAAAAATAAGGTTGAGTACGCAAGTGAGGATTTGAGCAGGATTTCAACAGACACATGTGGTGCACGGGGTACTAAAAGTTCCTGAAAGAAGAAGTCTACAACAAGTATAGTTTCGATTATTCAGTCTCGTAGGTCATCGTGGACGAATTATTTTAAGGCGTAGTTATTTTGTCATTTGCCATTATCACTGACAGATATTAAATATTTTGTTGTTTTGTTTAGGTGTTAATATCTTCACTTTTAAATGTAAAAAAGGCAAGTGAATCTGTTTGGGAAGACCCCCACGCCTGCCCCTCGTATTCTCCACTTCTAGCCGCTCATTGGATCCACCGCAATATTGTATCTTACCTGTAACCCCAAAGCTTGACCTTGACCTACAGAGTCATAATTTTGACTTGATCTTTCACTGGATAAAGAGGCCCCATTTGACGAGAACAGGGCCTTGTCTGATGATAAAGAGGCCTGTTTTAAAGATAAGGATTCCTGGTTTGATGATAAAGAGGCCTGGTTTGATGATAAAGAGGCCTGGTTTGATGATAACGAGGCCTGGTTTGATGATAAAGAGGCCTGGTTTGATGATAACGAGGCCTGGTTTGATGATAAAACAACATGCTTTGATGATACTGAGGAGTGTTGTGATGCTATAACCACGTGCTGTTCATGCCTGTCTGTAACAAAAAAAAAATATTTTATCTGAAAGACGACAAAAGTAAATTGCAAGAAGGTAAAAGTAAACTGCATGACGATAAAAATAAATTGCATGACGATGAAAATAAATTGCATGACGATAAAAGTAACTTACATGAAACCCAAACGAATAAAATGAATAGTAGTTCGTCTACTTACATACAGCAGTATCTGCAGAAACAAACACCATTGAAGCCAATACATTGGTCGCAACTAATAGCCAGGATGAAACCATCGTGAAGATTTAGCAATCAAGCAAACGTAACAGTTTTCGACTGGTTTCAAATCAGCCTTAAACACATTTTAACCCTTTTTAAGATACAAATTTTGAAACAGATTGTTGGGAAATTAAACGAAATTTCAATAAATTTTTTTAAACATTTCAACTGAATTGGAAGATATATCACTATTTTATTCATAATGATCCGGCACGCATAATGAATAGAACGAATTGAAAGATTTATTGCAATTTTATTCGCGATCCTGCGACACGTATAATAAAATAATTCAAACTGTTTGTCAAAAATAAATATTCGTTAATCATAATTGTATTATGCAGTTAACAGTTTAAAACACGCAACAGGCTACACCATCATTAGGAGTATAAACAAGACTATAATCATTGGAAAATCGACATTTAATAATAGCGCAGTTGGTTTAATGTGTCTTTTAATACCCAGTAACTCCCAGATCAGAAGACACGTGATCATCATGGGCCAAAGGCTTTGAAGGGCCGCGAATCAATGATTGCAAACCGATCAGCAGTAGATATTCGCTTGGTCGCGAATGAAGGCTTTCGCATTACTGCCATGAAACGGTTTATAATTGGGGATGCTACAAGGTTTGAACTGCCGAGTCATTTTTACGCAAGACTCGACGATCCAGTATCTAATGGAAGTTGGATTGGGTCCATATGCAGGATACCGCGATTACAAACACATAATATTCTGGACATTATAACTGGACTTAATCTACAGGACTTAATCATAATACCTCAACCAAGTGTCAAGGTATGACATGGCATAGCTCAGACATACGTCAAATCTACTCAAGCATATGGTACAAAACTAAACAATTCCCGGCGCTGGACCACCTACCCCTCCTAAATGCCGTAAGTTTTTCTGCGAAGGGGGCCCTAGCACGCCTCTGTGTCTTATTTGTTTCAAGGGCGACGAGAACGTTTTTAGCTGCTAACAAACAATCAAGACCAATACGCTAATCGTTACCATATACCCTATTGACATTCATTCGGTCATCTGTAACACATTTGGTCATGCTGAAAGTATCATTTTTACTCCGAGGCCACGGCCGATGTCTAAATAATGGTCATCTTTTTGTTCTTGGGGTTGTCTACTCCTCCCTCATTAGCGAACAGAATCCAATGAAATATGGCAGGTACCTTTTGTAAGGAATATCAGTTCCTTTTGACGCAATGATTTCCAGATAATACTTACATTTAAAACGTTTATTTTCCTAATTTTTACATATATATCAATATATAAATTATTCGTATAATTTTATATTCCTACTTTTAATTCAATTGTCTAATTTACACGGTGCTAAATGTGGAGTTGCAAGTATAAAAAATAACATTAAAAACTAAAGAGCATGTACAATTCTGATATAGTTTGCCATTCATTATTTTAAGAAACTTTGCCCCAATAGGATGACAAATGCCACTGACGTCCTCACATTCTGAAAATATAAAATGAAAGTCATCTTGTCAATATTAATAGTCCGGTCTAAAAAAAACTTGAGTGGTATGACTAGTAAAAATTTTGTACATTATTATTTTTCTTGTAAAACCTGTGGATCTTTTTTTTTCTGGTACATTTGAAGAAACCCTTACTAGTCGTTTACGGTGGGTGTTCCATGTCACAGTGTTCAAGGGGTATTACTATTATTGATAGAAACAGTACTTCCTGGCAAATGTGTGATGGTGACGATGTATGAATTAAATTAGTGATCTCAAGTTATGCGTGTCTCGATTTCGTTTAACAGTCCAATGCGCAGTTTAACTGTACTTTGTTTCAGCAACACCTCTTCTAGTCCCAAGTGTCTGATGCTTCTGGTGATCAATGGGATGTTTGAGAGGTGTTGTCAAATTCCATTCTTGAAATAACTTAAAGTATACCATGTGCGATTCTATGGTATGCAAGGTTGTGGCCAATATAATAGGCCTACAGCGCGCATCTGTAATTCTAAATTGTTCGACGCAAACGCCGTATTGTTTAAGACGCAGCTTCCAAAATGTAAGTAGAAAAAATATTTTCACACTCAAAATTGCACGTCCTTAGTTGACATTGCAATTAACAGTCTCAATCACAACCAAACCAGAATTTAGTCATCACATTGGCTTATTTTACCGAAATGAACATGCTACTGTTTCCCATAGATCACCAATCGGAGTAAAACATGAGATCGAATAGTATCTGTATACACTTACGTTTATAAGATCTTTGTATTTGTAGTCTAGTGTATCCAGGTAATGGCGTATCTTTAACACACACTTTCTTTTCACATTTATCTGTCCATGTTAATCCTAAGGGACGACATAAAGTTCCTTCTTTACACCCACTTTCTATAAAAAGAAAACAAAATCATCAAAATGTATATTTGAAAGGGATATAAGCTGTCTTTATTTGTCGAATTAATCTGACTGCATTCAAATTCGGGGCTGCGATTGCTTACTAACCAGGCGGTGCGGGGTTAGATCCGGGTGTTGATCGATAAAGTTCCTCGGGATTTTCTAGCGTGATTTCTGTTTGTCAGTGATGCATTGACGTGCACGTAAAAGAACCCGTGATAGTTGTTTCGAAATAAGAGCAGTTCGTCCGGGTCTTTAACAGCGCGAGAAAACCGGAGGACGGGCTACCTTACTCCTTTTCACGGACCATTCTACCAGCCCCCCCCCCCCCCACACACACACACACACCTTGATGAAACATGGTATTTAAAATGAAAGAACTATATTTAGTAAAGCAAATTATTGTAAAAATTTAGAAGAGCAACATGGGGCTTAAGAAACCTTTGGTTTTAAGTAATTTAATTCCAGTTAAATTACAAATCTCCTACCATTATCTAAAACTTTCAGCGAATACATATTGTTTTTCTTCTCGCATTTCTTGGTAATGCATCCTTCCTTGATAGTCGCGTTGACTGGTATACAGTTATATGGTTTAGAAGGTCTACTGTAGCATCCTAAAATATGAAAAATTAACTATTACCATAACAGACATAATAGACTTCTTGTTATTTAAAGAAATGTTCAAGAGGAGGGGGCGCTTGTTACGATAAAATTAAACGAAAAATTCCGACGGATCTTACCGGTTTACTTTCATTGTATATGCAATTTGTTTTTGGGTGGCATTTAGGTCAGCAAATGTTTACGGGGTATCATGGGAGATCGATATTTATTATAGATCCAAGTAAGACACAGTTTTTGGTCATTACGGATGGTTATTACGGTGCAGTGGACGTTTATGAATGGACCCCGGATCTATTATGTTGTTTATTGCTTGCAATGTCTGTTGATTGTGCGTCTTGTCCGCAGGTTTGTCTTTTGGATTCTGCTTGCACTTACTAGTAGAATTGAATATAATAATATGGAGTGAATATGAAGCTGATGTAGAAAATATAATTTATCTCCCATTTAGCAAAATTTTAGATGTTTGTCCAAAACTGTATTGATTAATGGGACATAACTCTTATTCCTGAAAGTTAGATTTCTGTTATAATTATATTATCAGAGCGATTACTGAAATTGAACACCACATTTACCAAATCATAACGCTAACCCTAACTATTACTTGATTGGTCTTGTATGTAATGTGACAAGTAGTGGAAAATTCAAGATATCAAGTCGAAATGTCATCTCAGACCAAGGGTCCACACATAGGGACTGAGGGGGCATATACCCGGTGACGACACTTCTTGGAGGCGGCAGATTATCTAAGTGCATACCAGAAATATTCAACGGTCCTCGCTTCCCAATGATCTGTGTAAACCAGTTCATATTTCAGCAAATAGGGAGAGTAGAATTATGATTTTCCAAGATATAGGGTTTTTCGATCAAATGGAGAGTTAAGGGGGAAATAAACATAAAAATTTTACATATGAGTTGATTAAATAAATTGTTATGTAGAGAAATTGTTCTTTAATCATAAAAAATCAACTGATTGCTGGCGCTGAACGAGGCAGATACAGTATGCAAGGAGTGGGGGGGGGGCACTGGAACTTTTGCTCTGGGGCGCCACCTAGGATTGTGATGGCCCTGCTCTGACCAGGATGGGTCCAATCCTAAAATATCGTATAATCCCGTTACATTTAAAAAAAAACTTGGATAAAAAACACATATTTAATTTTCTTCTTTTTTTTAATTCAACATTGCTGAAAAACCAATATCAAAACGAAATCTTATGAATGATTATTGACTCTTCGTGGACTTAATTCTATTGTATGACCAATCTGTATCCTTTACACAGGCTTACTGGATTGATGTTTCGAAATTCCTAGCCATACGTGTCTTAAATCTTGATGCCCATCTTCATTAGCCCGGTTGATGCAGACACGTAAGATATTAGACCCCATTCATTTTATTTCTTGGTATTATGCATATTTCATTTCTGATTTGAATTTGGATAAATTTAATTTCAATCTCAGACAATGTTTTCATTTTTTTTGTGATTTTGAACTACACTATATGAAATGTAATTTACCTTCAGAAATTAATTCTAATCTATAACTGATATGAGATCCCGTATCCTTTTCTTTACATTGGTACACAAAACACCGATCTTCTACAATTTCTCCTACTTTTAAACATCGATCATTAAATAGACAACCTTAAAAATAAAAAAAAATAATACTATGATGGTACAGTACTATGAACAGGGGCGGACTGGGTAGCCCTGGGTCCTCGGACCAACTGCTTTCTGTGTGTGAACGCGCAACTTTTTCTACCGGAAACTTAGCTTTTAAATTCTAAAACGTGGAATTTCTTCATTATTTTACTTAAATACATTTTAAGCCGTGTGTGGATACAAGGCGTATTTTGGGATCCCACGAACCTTTGGGGGGGGGGGCACTGGTTCATAATTGTCTGGCGAGAATTTTATACATTGTCAGCTACTTAACGTCGGGTATAATGCTGCAAATAGAACGGAAGTGAGGCAGTAGCAATCCATTCGACAAGGAACTAAAAGTATTATATTATCGGAAACACCCCCCCCCCTTCCCTTTAAACATTTTGCTGGTTACAAGTGCCTAATCCATTCTGTGCTCGGTGCAAGCTTTGTATTTGGAATCTTTCTTACTGGCGATATTGTGTTGACCATTCTAGTAATCTAGATCTGAAAACAAATCTAAGCACTTTACCAACCCCGTCAAAGGACGATTCTACACGAAACTGACAATTACTTTATTTGCAGATTTTGATGGTTTCATAAATCCCTTCTAATTCATATCTTCACTGTTATTACCTAAAATAATTTTTTATACTTTGATAGATTATTTTTCAGTCTTTTTATGAAGCTCTAGTTTGATCCTATTTGAATAAAATTATGCATCCAAAAACAGTTTTATGTCTGGCGTCTTAGATAACCCCTTGTTTTTCGTGCGACGTGTTTGCACAAGGGTTATGTTGTGTATTTAATAATTCTGGCCAAATGTTAGTTCATTGCACTCGTGATGAAAGCACGGCTGTCATTTAGTTTTTGAGGGATAATTCTGTACGATAATATTATGTGCTTCACTGGCGAGGATAGAAGGGGACTTTGCATACCTCCAGTTAACGTTCTATACCCCACACCTCTGTCATTTTTTACACATTGTTGGTGAATACACTGGTGTATAGTTCTCGTAGATCCTACAGGGTAGCATTTCTTATTGCCATCATCACATTCTGAAATAAAACAACTACTGACCAGAAGATGCTAAATGAATTTATCATAAGTGTTGCATTATCAAAAATACATGTAATGGGAAATATATCCCGAAGTATTCCAACTCCATCTAAACTTGGGCATTTGTATTTTAGAAGTGTATTTATTCTTTGTTCTATGTGAATATAATGTTCAACCACCTTGACAGCGAAGGGTGTCCTACAAAAACATGTTCATGATGCTACTCATTTTACTATATGAATGCTTCAAACGACGGACAACATCGAACGAAGGACAAAGATAGACGGAATGATAAGAACGAAGGGTAGCAAAGATAGATCGAATGATAAGAACGAAGGACAGCCTAGGTGGACAGAATTATGAGATCGAAGGGCAGCATATGGACAGAATGATAAGAACTAAGGGCCAGCAAATAGATGAACAAAACGGTGAGAACTAAGGACAGTCTAGGTGGACAGAATGATTAGAACGAAGGACAACATCGATGGACAACATGATTAGAACGAAGGAAGCAGTATAGGTGGACAAAATGATTAGAATGATTAGAACGAAGGACAACGTTCTAAGAATGAAGGATAGCATAGATTGACGGGGTTGTTCTTGACCCCATATACACAAATGTACACTAAGCTGTAATCATTGTTGTTAACTTAAAATGAGGAATCTTACCAAACTTTGAAGGACCGTAACCACCCATATTACATGTATATTCTATACAGGGGCCACTGTATTGGATTTTAAAAGCTTCACCATGTTGATACGTCTTCCCTTCAACCGTACATGCTGTAATAAAAAATACAAAGGATATCTCTGAATGACAATGACCGGGACAATCAACACTAAATACTAGCTTTAAAGGAACAATATTATTTAATTCAGAATAATAAATGCAGTTATACTTTATAATATTGTGTTTTTGAAATTATTGAAAATCCAAACACTAGGAGGATTTGTTAACCTTGTGGAAAATTACTATTTAAAAATATGGGTAACTCGTAAACTCTATATCTTTTTGAATTAGTATAGCAAGAACGACCAGGTCTTTATCTAAATTTTACATAATGCATCTTTAATGACTAATATAAAAAGCATGTGGACAAAATGTTAACTATTAAGCGTATGTTAAATATAAAACCATGCAAAAGAATTTTTATTCTACCCTAATAAATAGCTTGGCACATAAAAAGTAATACAAAACGGCAATAGAACTATAAATATGATCCGAATGTAATCGCAAAATGATCCCGATTGGAGGGAAAATTATTTTAATGTAATCGGTTAAATTATATGTAACCAAAATTATGTCAGATTACTTATGCTTATTTCAAAAATTGTAATCGTTTACCGATTTTCATGATTTTAGACACGGCTGTACAATCACGGTTTTTAAATTCGGGCTGCTTTTCATTATTAAAGAATTTATCACAAAAGATCTTACGTATGGCTGTAACGTTGTTTCCATATGTCCAATGGAAAGTTACACACAAAAATGTTACCATGAACAACATTATAGCAAAATGTGATGATCCTGTCCAACCAGTTCTTCTCTTGGTCAGTTGTGGACATTATCTATAAAATATTTAATTTATAATACGATATTATCAAGGTACTCTCCTAGGACTCGTGGATTAATTGGGTGTCAAGCATGAGAAGTATATGTCAATCAAAGGTTATGAAAGCCATCAAGTCAAATATAATGAAAGCGTGGCGGGAGATGGGATATAAGCGTCATGAAATACAGATGATATAACAGATAAGTAGGGTTTATTAATTAAGTGTCAGTATTTGCCGTTATTGGTTTATTACAATACCAAGTTGAAACATAGATAGGGAATTCTCGTGCACTCTAATACACCAAGCTCTAAAATCGACGTCAATAAATCTCTTGAACGAATTTTATCAAATCTAATAAATCATTTTTAAATACTATCATAGAAAACTCTGTACGCGCACAGAATTTACAATCATAAATTGTTTGGGTTTTTTTACCACACCGAATTTTAAATGTCCCGCCAACAACTTTTTCCTGTATGCCTTTTACAGGGTTTTATAAATTTCAATTTAAATGATGAGATAACTAAGCCATTCCTGATCAAAATATTCTGGATCTCAATAAGGTGTGTCCTTATGATCTATTGAACAATCCCTGCAAATTGCAATCTGATTAAAATACAGATCTATGTTTCATTTCGTTCTTTTATACTTTCGATGGCTACACTAAATGAAAAAACGAAATTTTGAACTATAAAAACGAAACGAAATAGGATCTGTGTTTTAATCAGATTGTGCAAATCAGAAAATATATTGTAAAATGTCAGTGTAAATATACATAAGAAAATGTATGTAAATTGTAGTAGCATATTTACAAAATCTCTGTTTCATTTATAAACAACATCTGTTAAAGCACAGCACGTGTCAGTATTTACCCAAACTTAAATGTTTCCTATATATTTGAATTATTCATAAATATTACATTATTATTCTATATGCTTCTTAAATAGTATGGAAATATATACTGAAATCTGTGCTTCCGAACAAAAAAAGCAATCTGTCACCATTTGAAATATCATTTTGTGATGGAAAATATTGAACTTCATGACAAATACATTAACCATGTAATATTCATTATGGGCTACCATGTTTCTTAAACTTGCCAAAGGCATTTTAAAAACAAGAACGAAAGAACTGAAATGTTGTTTAACGTCCTACTTTTCCACAGAGACTGGGTTTATGGAGACGGGGAGGGAAAGAAAGATCTAATTCGGATTAGACCTTCATAAACAAAGATAAAGACTTCAACAAACTTTCACAAAATTAACTTCATAAATAGCATAATGATTATGCAGTATTAATAATTATATTCATATTGAGGCATATTTCTCATTATTTGATGAATCCATAAAGCTGATAATTGTATGTTTATGACAAATACGTTTTACATAAAATTTGTTATTAAAAAAGATATAAATGGGTTTTGTTTTATAAAAGAAATTAAATGGGGATCTGACAAATAAAAGAACCGAAAATGAGTTAATTTGTACATATCAACTTACCTTACAATTTCCATAAGAGTATTTAAAATTATATATTTAATTTAGTTTGTTTTTTGTGTTTGATATTTAGTTCGTTAACTTCGACATTTCCTCATCTTTCAATTATTTTCGCTAGCATCCCATGTTTATATTTCACAATTAGGGTATAAACGTGATGTACATGATCCTCTCCTCAGTGGGATAACGATGTGGCGTTGGTAGTAACATAGTCTAATCTTAAATTTACATTGTGTATTTGCCGTTGAATAACAGTAACTACAAAAGTACACAAACAATTAATACTACTCGGGGAAAATTTTCACTCATAGAATAGTACACTGCATAGCGTATACCCGTCTTCATTAGCCCAATCCGTGCAGTGGGACGTTAAACCCTATTTTCATTAAAATTTCATGTATTCAAAGTTAAGTGAAAAAAAACCTCCAAGTTGCTGCTATTTTATTCTATATTTGGAGCAGTTTAATAAGGCTACCGGACCAAAAGTTTAAAGGTGGAGTATTTGCGATTTTAACCTGGCCACAGCCACATTCCTCTAATTTTACTGTCTTTTCGAAACACTTGTGGGTTTTGGGGGTGGTGAGGTTTTCGTGGAACGTAAATAATTATTTTATTCCATTTAATACCATACACAATAAAGGCAGTGGCTAAATACCACGCTCCAAGATACCACGCTCGTCCCTAGAACTTCTATACAAATGTAAGGTGGTATTTAGCCCCTGCCCATAATGATTGTATAGTAAAACCGTTGTAATAAATGGGAAGCAACTCCAAGAAAATTTTAAATGGTTTGTATGGATACATTAAGTCTAGCTCACAACCCGTCGTACATGCTACTACGGGCAGTCTACGGGGAAAATTCTAGAAAGGACGTGCATGAGACTTAAAATTGAATACAAATTGTGACTCCCAGAGGATCCACAGGCTAAAAACGTGATTTTACGAACAATTAAGGCCATACTCTAGGAAGTCACGTTCCAATATGCGTGGTTATGGCAGGGAATCGAGATCTTTGTGATATAAACATAAACTTTAAGTTTCATCAAAATCGGATCAAAATTGTGACCTCGAGAGGGTCCACAACCTTGATATACCATATTTTTGCACTATTTGCGTACTAGGGGCGGCCATTTTGTCCGGCAGTTTCGGTTCGATTATCACGAATTTCGAACTCAATTATCATTATGGCGTAACGGTGATATATTTTTTAAATAGAATAAAAATTGTGTCCTCTAGAGGGACCACAAGTTAAAAACGCAATTTTTCAGAGGCCATTATCAAGGAAGTTGCAATCCGATATGCGCGAACATCGAAGTAGCCAAGATCTTTTGCATATAAACATACATTTCAAGTTTCATAAAAATCGGATGAAAATTGTGACCTCTAGAGTGTCCACAAGATAAAGACGTGATTTTTCGTACAATCAGTGGCCATAATCCACGAAGTTACGGTCCCGATTCGTGCCAATTTCGTCAAAATTGGATAAACATTGTGACCTCTATAAAGTGTCACACGACAAATTGTGGACGGACAGACAGACGTCCGGAGGGACAGGGGCGACGACAATATACGTCCACATGAAAATGTGAGCGTATAAAAAATCTTTAAATTATGAAATGTTAAGGCAATCTGTTTTGTTGCATATTTAATCCAAGTAGAAATATCAAATCGTATTTTACTCATGGTATAAGTGTTTCTAACCATCAGAATTTTGCAAAATCTTCCCCCAAAGTCCAGGAAATGACATTTCGTCATATTTAAACTTTAACAATATATATTTATCTGTTTATAGATTGTTAAGAAACATAAAAGTGACGTCAGTGATCTCTTACCAATCCTTTATATTTCATATAGTGTACAATATATCTGAAACAGAAGTAATATGATTTTCAGTACCGATATACTTCATTTCATGATAGCTTTTTGAGCATTTGGAATGTTTTATAGGAAAAAAAAAATAGCTATATTATAACCTCTTGGCTAAATAATTGGGGACAGACTACCCCAAATTCTGGATAATTTTATCCCGAAAGCTCGATTTATTGCTACGCGTAACATTGATTTAACACAGAAGCATGTCGCCTTTATAAAATGAGGTTGCTGAATTTTTTTTAAATTCTTTTCGAATTTTAATTTTTTGTTTTATATTCTGCTCAATCAATGAAATAAAAAAAAAATACCACCCAGATCTGTATTTTATGTGTGGTGTATTTGTGGAAGGGGGGTCGCGCTTTCAGATAATGTCGATGCAGTCGATCTAATTGGCCACGTATTGGATTGTTAGCCGTTGAGAGACACTGATATGTACACTGGTTCACTTCGCTTTATCTGACTTGCTAACATGGACATCTCCTCGGGGTTTTCGGCATATAGTTTCCTCTTGTCAGTGGTGCAGGGCGGATGACCTGTCTATTCGAACAACCGGGACACTGAGTACACATTGGCATGGACGTAAATGAACCTTTGAGGTGGAATTCGAAATAATCGTTGGTTGTAGCGCCGCTGTCCGGGCAAAATTTCCATTGAGAAGAGTTCAGTATGAGTGATACATTGGCCCTAACACAAGAAAATTGGCCTTGTGAACACACGTGCACGACCCCCACCACCACCCCCGCAGTGAGCGTCGTTTATAGAAAATTGGTATTATACATGACAATATACAATCTGGTTAAAACACAGATCCTATTTCGTTTCGTTTTTATAGTTCAAAATTTCGTTTTACTTGTCTTTACTACACTTGGTTAAAACACAGATCCTATTTCGTTTCGTTTTTATAGTTCAAAATTTCGTTTTACTTGTCTTTACTACACTTGGATCTGGAAGAGTTGTCATTTTACTCGTGTTCTGAATGGTGTCAGGGATAAGCCAATGAAACGGTCTGTTACAAAACACGCCTAAAGCCATTCGGCAAACCTCGATAGATTCTACGCATCTAATCTCGGCTGTATGAGGCATTCCGCCATATTGGAACTATTTTAAAGGTCCCGGATGAAAAATGGCTGCGCCCATGGAGATTTCTGTGGAGAGTGTATTATATCAACAAACGTCAAGTTTGGCATTGGGGTTGGGGAATTATCAGGGAATTATATCAAACCAGCAGCCTTGAGACAATATCTCTGCTCGTTTAGTTATATACACTCCACAAAAGGCGCCATTTTGGGACTTTTTTGTAAAAGCGACACGTTTTCCTGTTAAAGTAAACCGGTAGCCGCATCGCAAATGTATGGGCGTAGGTACATATCAATTACTATCATACAGCCGAGGTTAGATGTAGGGTACCGGAATCTGCCGAGGTTTGCCGAATGGCTTTAGGCGTGTTTTGCACGGAACTGTGGGTAATCCACTAGTAACATCAATGCTGATTGGTTAATCAAATGTCTGACATCATAGGGTCATAAGTCGGTCTTTTGACCCCTGACGTGACCTATCGCTATAACTTGTCAGATCTTCATGTAGTGTAGGCCATCGATACAACCATAAACACATAAATATTATAGGAACAGTTGCAAACTTTCACCACTTACGTCCTAACGAATAAAACTCGGATACAACCCGATCCAACCACCCACTTTCCGTTCCGTTCCATTCCGATGGGGAAATAAAATGTTGACACGGATGAATTTTGATGCGTGTTAAGAATAACATTTAATTTATCGTTTTCTATCTGCAGTGTCGTTCAACGCACCAACTCAGTTCCGCGGGTTATTCGATTGGATGCAAGTATTGAAATTCTGAAACTTTCCCTGGGAGACACTAAAACTGTTTGACCATGACTGGAGCGCAAGAGTGGGTTTACTTAATATCTCGTTTGTGATTGGTTAGTGACAACTGATTCAGACGAGCAGAAAGTAAAGAGCCTGTCGAGAAAAGGGTCTTATGAACATCTATCCACATGGGTAGCCTTGATGTGAGAGAGGATGGACGGATTGTGGGGGAGGGGGGGGTGTTAATAGCTCAAGACTATGTGGTGTTTTAGACGACTCCAGTAAATATCTATGTCACTTTAAAAGACTCGACTCAAATCAGTATATCAGTTTTAATAGTTTAAAGTTAAATAACATTTTATCAACATCTGACACGACAACACATCTGCCATATTAATTATAATATAAATACATTTTGCTAATTGTAAAGGCTAATCGGGAATGCGAAGGCTCACACACGTATACTAATAATGCAAATGTAGATAAAAACAAGTATAATGTATGTTTTGAATAATTCATGCAAGCACCTGCATTGAATGTTTTTTAATACCATGATAATAAATGCATGTATATGATATTGGCGTTAATGATTATACTTATTCATTAGCAATACCAATATTCCCAAATGTACGAAGTTATTTCTAATTCAAGGTTACTTATTAAAAAAAATTGATTACCAAACCGTTTTCAGACACCACCATTTAGATCTTTTTTCCTGAATTTACAATTCATTTTTTGAAAGGCTGTTATATAAAAGAAAATTAAGCGATTCTAGACTAAAATCTCACTCGAACCAAACTAGGTAAGTAATAAAGTTTTATACTATAATTTATTATTATTCAACCGTGTTTTAGGTGATTTATATAAATTTAAAAGACCCGTAACCTATACTTTGTTTACATCTAAAAAGTGGTTTAAAGCGGAAATTTCAAATTTTTAAGTTATTTTTTTAAAATTTATTAAAATAAAGCCTTAAAATAGATGGTATCCATAAACAGTCCTACCTTGTTAAAGAATAATCCTATTAATCCTATAATTCACTATTGCCAGTTGAGAAATTGGCAAAAATATCATTTTCCTCTTCCAATTCAAACGTTTGAAAAAAGCTACTCCATGGTGGAGAATAAAAAAAAACGAGGGAGGCAATTGGGAGGTAATTGTGTTATTATTTCCAGTGTAAATGAGTTTTAAGTGTGAGAATGACACCTATGGTCGTATATAGTGAGTTGATAACCTATTGAGCAAAAGACATAGAAATAATTATGTTTTGACTTTCTTAGAAAATATGAAATTCTCGCTTTAAAGAATTGTTTGCATAACGAAGAATATTTTTGGCGTTTTAGCACATTTCGTAGATAATTAGCGACTGTTTCTGTTGAAAAAATCTAGTCGGAAGCGAGTAATATTGCGTTCTGTGTTCAAAATACAATGAGATCTGGTCGTTGTTCTTCTTCCTCATTTTTTGGGCGACGCTCTTCGATAAAAAGTCCAAGACTCCGCTAAGTAAGCAATTGGACGACAAATTGCGCATCGATTGCCGAACTTCGATTCTTGGTGTGAAGTCATAATTCCAAGATGGCTGCCATGGCGTCATGCTCAGTTTGTGATCCATAAAGTAAGCCCGTGTTTGTTTAAGAATATAGGGACTGAAGAATGTTCTTCAGATAGTAATTTACTCAATCATAGTGAAAAAATTAATTAAATACCTGGTTGTTTTTTTAATAAATGAGTTACCGCTCAGACGTCGACAGACGATTATAAGAGTGAAATCCTTAAGACTGATCGATTTTAATATTTTCAAAACCCAGAATCATTTTTGTAGGCCTAATGTCTGTTGTGTGTGATCTGAAAGTCTATATTTGTGGTTTGTGGACATATAAATAGACAAATGGGCCTATAGATAGAAATTTCGGTCTATAAATAGAAATCTGGGCCTGAAGATAGAAATCGAGGTTCCTGATGTGTTTTCTTTTTTTTCTTTTTTCTTTTTTCGCAGAATTTGAAGACAGTCGTAATGTTACGTCTTGTTGTGTTGTGTGCTATATCTGTCGCTGTTCTTACAGTAGAAATAGAACAGGAAACAGAAAAGATTGAAATCGCTGAAAATACAGAACAGAACGAAAATGCAGAAGAACTTCAAAAGAAATCAAGTAAATGTTTATGTCGACGTATTTTTATAAATACTATAATGTAATTGTTGTGTAGGTTTATTGTATTGGAGCAAGTGGTTTTTGTGTGTCAGAAATAGTTGAAATAGGCTATTTACCTTGTCTGACAGTTTCAGCCAAATATACTTTAAGCTATCTGGGAATGGTTGCTAAAACAGTTTATATAGGTGTTACGTAACGCTTTCAAAATGGAATGAAGTGAGGTCTATTCTTCTTCAAATTATGACTAACAAAGGTTCTTTGGCGTGCACGACAATGTGTAAATGGGGCCATGGGTTTTCGTTCAACCCGAAGTTCTTGGTGTCATTCCTTGCTAGGCCATCCGCGCTGCACAATTAACAAGACGAAACCAGACAAGAAAATCTCGAGAAACTTTCTTAGCGAACAGCGGGGTCGATCCTCGGACTTCCTGGTTACCAAGCCACGGACTTACTCACCGAATCACCGTGGTCACCAATTATTTTAAAGCACCCGTCTACAATCTTTAAAGTGATTATATATTCCATACCGTTTTGCAAACTTTGTCAAGAGATGTTTAAAACATAGCAATACCCTACACGTTCTATTACAACAGAATTGGAAGTTTAACGGGACACTGGCTCGAATCTTTAAAGTGTTTATTTGATACCGTTTGCAAACCTTGCCAAGATATGCTTAAGAAATAGCAATGACTTACACGTTCCTATTTACATCAAAAATAGCGGGGCGTTGTCACTGTGTTTGGGTTATAGACGTGATTACCCAGATACATTAAGGTGATTGCTAGTTACGAAGCCGGACACTAGACAAGATTATTCCACTCTAATATAAAATTACTAAAATATATCTATGATTTCACTTTTCACATTTCACTATTGTCTAACAACATGTTTGTAAATGTGATGTCCAGTTGACCCCACCAAACTTCATATTTTGCTAGTAAAAGGACCTTTTTACAATAATACTTCTAAGAGAGGATATATATCTGGTAAATAACAAATTCGGCATGTGACGTTTAGATTAGGCTTTTTGTTGCATTCGGTTTTATTTTACAGGTGGTTACTGTTACAGCAGTGGTCGTATTTTAAGGAATGGACAACAAACTCGAGTACGACATGATCCTTGTGCTATCTACAGATGTGATCGGGGAAGATTGAGTCGAGTTAGTCAAGGTAGGTCCTTTTGTCCTCTTCTCTACATTTTATTTTGGCTTTATGTTTCTTCACATTACCCCAAGATCAGTTTCACACTGCTACGTACTTTTGGTGCTGTAATTAACCAAAATTTGTGATGGGAGTAATGGGCAAGGCTCCACCCCACCCCTAACACAGACACACACACACACACACACACCACCACTACATACACACCATGACCACCACCACCACCACCAAAGATCCCCAGAAACAACACTACGTTACAATGAACAGAGCAACACCCACTAATTAAGTGAAGTTATTTCATACATAACTGCGGTATATTGTATTTTTATTTGAAGATTTGATAATATAGGCATGGTACTATTTTCTGTTTGTAGAGTGTAGAGTTGAGGGCAAATGTCGACCAATCGGCTCTACTTGGACAGAGAAATGTGCTACATATAAATGTGAACGCTCTCGTGGACGACGAGGTGGACAGCAAATCCGGGTTCGAAAAGTCAGTGAAAGTAAGTAAATTATTTAAAATTCATGTAAACACAACCGTCCACCCCCTCTCGTGACTAATGTCTGTGAATATTCTGTGTATATTGTGTCTATTGTTCGTCGGTTTGTCTTGTGTAATTGTTTATTTGTGATGCGGTTCTCCTGTACTAACTATTGCAGGCTTAGCTAGGATTTCAGTCGTCTACTAATAAAGGCGACAAGATGCCTTCGAAACCTACTCACATGGCGTCAAAATAGAGAGAGAGGGGGAGAACTGGGGTTTAACGTCTAATTGACACAAACTAGGTCATTTCGAGACTAACATATGGTTCAATTTTATTTCAATAATTTGCTTGCACATGTAGGGGTCATAAGCAGTGGGAGGAAACCGGAGGACCCGGAGAAAACTCACAATATTGGACAGGCGACCCTACTCCTTGTCACGTACAACCGGAGAATCGAAATCATGCCAGTTGAATCAATGACAGATCTTATGGTACAGCGCGCAATTGCTAACTATTCGGCCATCCACCCCCTCCCCCCACCCCATCCCCCACTCGCCCCCGTCAGCCGATAGATGTACTGACATGGATATAGAATTATAAATGTCTTTCACAGACAAATGACATTATTTATATTCATGGCGTCTTAAACAGAAAGCTGTAACTGTCCGTTTTAAATAATAATGGCTCGTCATACATCAGAATTTAGTTTGTTCAATTCAATTTCTTATCTCGACAGAATGTCTGGATGCCCATGGAAACTGTCGCCGACCCGGAGAGCGTTTTCCTCATGTTGTTAATGGACGATACAACAGCAGATGTACATGTAAACAATCCCGTAACCGTAATACCATCAAGACTTCCTACCATTGTCAATAAATGACATTGATATTCTACATTGATGTTTTTCAGTCAATAAATGGTTTAAGCAAAACTATGTTTATTTACGTGTTTATTTTAGGTGATCGTATACTGTCGTCCATCTATCCGTCAATTCATGGATCAAATTTATATATATTGTAAGATTTAGAAAAATGAATATATTGAAACTTTCAATAAAATTACTTTATTCTGGTCCAAGTTACGGGTGTTTGAAGTTTTGACAAGATATAGGGTAAATAATCTCGATTATCAAGTCCCGTTGCTACCGTTATAAATGTAGTCTGTATTTTCATATAACATTTATATATTGTTTGAAGCCAGAAAAATTAATTAACCTTGATAACTAGTTATGGTTGGAGTAATTACACTTGATAAATAGATTCGATGAATCACCATTGTAGTATATTACGAGAGTAGTTTGATTGGTGAATGGAATCTGTGTCGATGCTTCGGATTAGTAACCTGAAATGGCTGAATTACCAGAGAAAATGCAAGGGTGTGGGTACCATTTGGGCCGATTAGATGTAAGTTTGGTTTTCAGCGAGTGGTCTCTTCCAAGGTTTGCCATCTAGCATAGGCAGTGAAATGAAATGAAATGGGGTTTAACGTCCTACTGTTCTGCTCCGAACAGTGTGATATGAGGGAAATTTTGCCCGGACAGCGGCACTACGGCCTACTCTTATATCGAATGGTTGCATTAACACATTTTATGGTACCGCCCGATGATACAAGACATATGTCTGATATTTCAGTAATAGTAATTTCAAATCCTTGGCATTTCATTTTCCGCATATGTATCACACTGATACCCCGTTCCATTAATTACTCTTTTGGAATATTAACCCAAGTTAAAGGTGCTCATTGACTAAACACTCATTTTAAAAACTTGAACGCCCAATTTAAAAACTTGAAGACTCAGTCTATAAACTTAAACACCCAGTCTATAAACATGGATGCCCAATTTAAAAACTTAAACACCCAGTTCTTTAAAGAAGTTGGGGACAGTATATTACTACAGTAATACACTATAACAATTACTTATGGACAGGCCTCACGAGATGGGGGTCCGCCCCTCGCCCCGCCCCCGCCCCCGCCAAGGGCCCATAAGAGTCTATGGGGCCCATGAATATCAAAGTTCAAAATTGAAATGGGCAATTATGCATGATTTTTTTTATTGTCCTTTGAAGCTTATATTGATATTATGTACAAGGGTTTTCGCTTTATCACAATCTGCTTTATGAAAATCCCCGCTTAAACTCAGTTTTTCCTAAGAAAGTTGCTTTTAACCCTCGGTAAACCGATCGATGTTTCAGACAACTATAAGCTGTATACCGATCGACGCTCAGAAATCCTTCATTGTATTATGTTACACTAATATTTTTATGTCTATAAAGATTGTATATATGATTTTGTTGCTGGGGATCAATAATGTTTGTAGTTAACGTACAGTAAATTTCCGATTGATTGTGCTCAATGCGATTTGTCTTACTAGGCTACTTGTGTAAATAGGATTAATCAAACAATTAAATTATTTTTGAGTTTTAACAGTTAAGCTTTTAATTTGTTTTTTTTTAAATTAAATCAAAATGAAAGTTTGCAAATTTGACTTAAAGCACTGAATAAGTTCTAACACAGTTTAAGAAATAAATATCTAATTAGAATTATGTGTGCATTGTCACCGTTTTAAAACAGTGCCTTAAAGGCAAGCAATGACTAGTGTTGGAAAGGAGGGGGGGGGGAATAGGTCTCGCCCCAGCACATCGTATTCCTCTCAAGGGCCCTGATTATGGAAGACCAATTGCGTAATTTGTTTTAAAGTCGATATAAGTGTAGAAATTTTCAACGAGGCCAGATTGTCATTCCACAAAAAAAATCCATTGCAATGGATAATTTTATTTTTGACCCAAAACAGAGAGAGCTATAATAGTCACTTTAATATTTGCTTCCAAATTGTTCTATTATATATATATAGCTTATATATCTTTCCGACACAAACCTAGAATTCTTTATCAAATATGCTGTAATATGTTGATATAACAATTTGGTCGACGATATATAAGCATCGGCATGTAACTGCTGTCCTAAATACAGATTTCCAGGATTTTTTGTTGTAAATTAACCATAGCATTCATATCTTAATCGGGTGCCCTGTTGATGACATGTACAGTTACTATACAGTTGTCTGTTAATGGCGTAAATAAACGATTCACCCAGTTGTTTGCAATTACCATATGCATCTTGGCATTCTGTAAAATTAATAAAGAAAACAGTTAAATATTTGAATACGAATCTCTCCCTTCAAAATTCCTTGTTGTAGAACCTTGTGATAAGACAATGTGTCTTCCTAGAAAAATTTACGTCTATAGATAAGGCTAGTGTTGAGATATAACCGATTTGGTTTCGCCTGTCGACACAGTAAAAATGTCGATTTTCGAAAGAGAGAGAGGGAGATAGAAAGGGGGGGGGGGGTAAACACTCAACACAAACTAGGTTATTTCGGGATTTACATATACATCAATATTATTTCTGTAATAAGCGTGCATTTGTGGGTCTTTAGCAGTGGGTGAAAACCAGAGAATCCGCTGAAAACTCTACTCTACAGGCGACTCTACAAGCGCACCATCACCACCCCACGTCCCTATCTAGTGTCATTGCACATTTGATAAAGTTGTTACTTTCACTTACGTATTGCTTCAGTGCGTATCTGGAAACGGTTTGTGTTAAGTCTATTACAGACGTATGTCTGGCAGTCTCTTGTCCATGGTACACCTATCGTATGACATTCACCAAACTGATCTCTACAATCTGTAATTAAACACATAACAAAAACTTATGATATCAGATTCTGGAAAGTAGCTAACAGTATTCTACATGAAATACCTATATCACGTATTCTGCAACAGAGAAAAATGAAATATAAGTTAGAGGGCATGTACTTATATTAAATATTATAAAACGTTTATTATGGACATAAACAATCACTGACAACATTTATCTCCCTTTATTTGAACTAATCAAAGGCATGTTGGATTGGAAAGAATCCTATCACATATACCCGGAAGCAATGCCTTTGTATGGATCCTATAATGTTTATTGAATCCCTCGATAGCGCCTTCAACTAAGGAAATGGGAGCGGTAGCATCACTTAAGTGTGAGGCAAAATTTTGAACGGCACACTAAGAAAATGCGAAAAACCACGTGATCCCAATTGAGTATTCACCGGTGTCTAATGATATGTACAGAGCTGTATTTTTCTTTATTTAGTTTGAGTCATTCTATGTGTCTATTAACTAGGCTCTGTCTACGGTTGTATGCCGTCTGACTTACCATGTTTTTATTTAGCACAAATTCAAATATTTTTCATATACATTTAGCCAGGTGTGCCACTATTTTTTATGTGTTCCATGGTGTGCCGTTGGCGAAAAAAAAGGTTGAGAACCACTGCTCTATAATTTAACGACTGATCCCTCTCGCAAGTTTTCTAGAAACAATTGTCTCCGATATCACCATGGGTAAAAGCGGACATTAAGCCCTACGTCAAGTCCAGTCAAGGAAGGAATCCGAATTTCGATTCCTTACGGATTCGGAATTCAGTTTGTTTGCTTCTTAAAGATATGAATTTGAGAATCCGCCTGCTTTGGATCAAAGGCATTATCGGTGTTTGACATTTCCCGGTTTGGAAGCTTACATTCCTAATTACAGAATAAATACCTAGCTTATCCGTCACATTTTTGCCAGTAAAATGGTAGACATTCACAATGCAGCTCTCATCATTACAGTACATCAACCCTTGTCTATTGTAAACTATGTTCTCTTTAAACACGGGGAACCAAACAGATGCTTCTTCATTCGAGTCCTCTGCTCAAGGTAAAGATTAAAGACGAGAGAATGCTGGTCGAAACGTCGCAAGAAATAAACGTCTCAAGTAACTTGTATTGCATATAATTGCGTCATGTGTTATTCTCATTTAGTTACTACATGGCACTTAAACAAAGCAATTGCCTTTCTATTGAACAATGTTTTTATACTTACTAGAGTGTAGAGTTCTGAAACCAATGGTATTTCCCCATTCTTCACAAACTTCTGTTCTACAGAAATATTCCCTTTCAGAGCCTTGAGGTACGCATCCACCTTGGCCATCTCGACATTCTGTAATACCAATATGAGATACAAACCAGACGTACTAACAGAAAACTAAGCTAAAATACAGTTGAGTCTCGTTATCGCCACATTGGTAAACTCGAAGAGTTTACATATCTCGACAATATAGCGTGTTTATTTTGTCCATTTCCCATTGTCGTTCAACCAGTATAATGAATCGATAATGAGATAAATAGTTATTATTAAGTTTTATTTTATATACAGGGGATTCCGAATAATTTAACGCGTGCGTTTTAGATCATAAGGTATATTATTGAGTCAAGCGGCGTGGTTTCAAGCCAATTATTAAAATAAAATTCATCCCTTATGTAGATCATAAAATGACCTAGCCCCACCCCCACCCCCCTGTCTCTCTCTCTCTCTCTCTCTCTCTCTCTTACTCACCTAGTTTTATAGGTCTTACTGAGCCATGGTTACAGTTATATGTTACACAAGGACCAGATTGAGGAACTGTAAAGTTTTCACCATGAGAGTAATCCTTACCATGTAGAATACAAAATGACCCTTCTGTAAAACAATATATATACAACCTGTTTACAAATATTTCACTGTGTTGGATGTTGTAGAAAGAGCAATGAATGAATGAATGAATGAATAAATAAATGACGTTGTATTTTCTGCACCGACCGGGCTAATGAAATGAAATGGAGTCTAACGTCCTACTGTTCTACTCCGAACTGGGCTAATGAAGACGGGCATATGCCATGCAGTTGGCTATGATGGAAATTTTGCCCGGGCAGCGGCGCTTCGGCCTACTCTTATATCGAATTCCAACTGCTAAGGGATCTTTTACGTATACGCCACTGTTCACACGGGACCTTGGTTTTTCCGGGCTAATGAAGACTGGCAAAAGGGGGTATCTGGGTTTAGCACGAGCTGGGCAATTCACAT